GCTTCCGCAGCAGTATTGGAAGTGTGTGTGAGATTGTGATATTTTATACGTATATAGATGTATATATGTATATGGGAATTCTGTTTGCAAGTATACTTGTTTTGGGCCAAGTTGAAATTGAAAAGCATCAGAACGGCAGCAACGAGTGCGAGAACGTCGCCAACGACACGTATTAACTCAGCACATGTGTAAATCCAATTCAAAACATGCCACGTTTGTCATTGGAGACCGAAACAGGAGAGTTGCAAGGTGGGGAGGAGGGAGGTCACTGCTTGTAAAACTTTGCCGCTGCAGCAATGCACACAAAATTTTTAACTTTGGAAAAATATTTAACAACTGACGCACGCCTCTCACGAAGCCAAGCTAAGCACGCCAGCCAGGAACCGTCGAAAATGTTTTCAATGAATGCGGCTAGGAGTGAGCGTTGGGGGGAGATCATGTCTACCGGGTCGGTTTGAGTCGAGAACATTTGTCACGCACAGTGCTCCAGAAAAGCAACAAAGGCAGCAAAACAAATATGGGAAGGGATAGACTGGTCGAGTGAGATGGGAATAACGATGGGGATGGGAATGGGAATGAGAATGGCGATGGCGATGGGGGTTTTAAGGCGATTTTGTTTTGTGAGATTTTGCCATAAAATAGAATCAGCTGCAGCATTCCAACAAAACGTGCGCAATGGAAAAAATAACAAAATTCAGCGTGCAAATATGCAAATGGAAGCCACCAAGTAGGGGGCGAGTGGGGGGGTTTGTGCTTGAATGAGAATGGCACACAATGTAAGTTTCTGGTAAGCAGAAAAGCGAAAGGGAGGGTAACGAAAGGACGATGACGTTGCCATTTTTAATGGCAATGGAAATCGTAGCAAAAAAATATAAATAAATACATAAAATGAAAATTGACAGCGGTAGATGGTTTCGACTGCAGCGAATGCTTGACATTCCCCCCTCCCCCTTAAAAGCTGCAGCCACGTGGACAAAGTGGCAAACCAAAATGTGTCTGTGGCTTCTGTTTGCCCAACACTTTTAACATTCGCTCGCACATTTGCCATTTTTGTTATTTATTTATTTATATTTATTTTCATGGTTCATTTAAGCATGTGCATGAAGACAAAGCGAGCGAGCGAGCGAGCCTGCAGGCAGACAGCGTCAAGTCGACGAATATTGAAGTGAAAGCAAAATAAGTATAAGAGAGCATAAAAAAAGGGCTGGCCATATAAATTAGCAGGAAAGTGGAATGGAGTGTGCTTGGCAGGCAGCAGTCGACGAGGCCGAAAGGAAAACTGGCAGACGCTTAATTGTGCCAATGTGTGAGCCTTCAGCAAGCTGCTGGTGGTGGGGGTGGGGGTGTTTGGCAAAGGAGAGGTGTGTGTGGCAAGACCCTTGAGCAGACTCAACTCAAAGGAGCAATGCGCCCGCCCACTTAGCATATTGTGCGAGTGTGTTGGAGGCTTCTTCAGCTAATTGTTTTTACTCATATTTGAGTTGAAAGGAGGATGCGCGCAGCAAGTCAAAGTCGCAGCCGTAAAGAAAACTAAGTATGCTAAAATAAATGAAGTTGAAGTGAAGTTTTTAATTTGTAAGCACGCTGCGAAGATAAGAAGGTACTAAAAACCCTTACGTTCCCTGAATAGACGTGTTAAAAAACAGAGAACACACTCGAACTTAATGCCAAGAGACACTAAGAAAAAGTGTAACAAGTGACAATAACAGCAATTGCGAGGAATGCAAATTTGTTGAAAATGTAAAATGATATACATGCTTTGGACTCCGGTTTTACGTCTATATAGATAATGCGACTCTTTCCGAATACAGTGGTTGCTAAGATCCTAAAAAAAAGATCATCAGCTTCAGCTGTATCTCTTTTAAAAGATTATTGATGTATGCAAATGTATTTCAGTTTAATATAAGCATTATATAATTATCAAGTAATGTTTATTTACGTGTCATCATACATTGATTTCAGTTTATTTGGAAAGACAGTAACTATTTATCCTACTCTAGCACTACTATCGTTAATAAATGACTAAAATTCACTTTCAATTTCATAAATAATGAATTAACTGGATTTTAAGAAGAAAAGCAAAAACATTTTAAAAGATATCTTCTATCTTCTATCATTAGGATTAATTTCTGTTAATATTTTTTTTAAAATGAAATGCTCTCTTTTATTCTTTACAAACGTTCTTAAGGCTGACTAGCTTCGAAGTTTAGAACTTAAAGTGGTGCATCAGTAGTAGTTAAATTTAAAGAAGTTTTCATCCCTGGGTGAACAAAATTCAAGATTATAGTGCTAACGTTAGCTAGAGACTTAATAGCACCCAGAACCTAGCAACACACATATACACAGAGCGAGAGAGAGAGACGCCTGCACGCACATTCTCATACCTAAAGCTATAAAGTGGCAGATTTCATTTGCGTAAAAGTCGTGCGAATGCGACAAATTTGCCCAGGGGATGCGGACGGGTCTAAAAACTGGTTGTTGGTTGTTGGTTGCTGCTTTCTGGCGTTGCTGTTGGTGTTGGTGTTGCTTTGGCCACTTACAACAAAGACAAAAAGGAAAGCTAATGCCCCGAGTAGCAGAATGAAAGCGCAGAAATGTAAACATCTGCATTTATGACTTCTGCGGCAAGTAATCTGATGTCAAGTATGTCAAAACAACAACAATAACAAGCAGCCAACGTCAGCCCCAGACCATCTGAAAAACAGACTCGGAGATAAGCCACCCTCTGCCAAGGGAAGACTTTGAAGACTGTCAGGCGCTATGGGGATGGCAAGCCACCTTCGACTGCAAACATGTAAAGATTGTAATTAACATAAAATTAATATCAACATGGCAGCCATTGCCAGGACAGCCGTTCTTCCTTCCTGACTTGCATTCATACACTTAAAAAATAAAGTATATTATTGTATACTTTCTGAGTTCGAGCATTAAGATGCAGGAGTTCTAAATATAGCTATTACGGCTTCAAACTGCAAAAGAGTTTATCAAATTTAAATTAAAGCGCTCAACTTAATAACTCATAACTTAATTAAAAGGTACGAAATGACACACAAATTGAATTGCACAATTTATAAGCCCCCTTTTTCTGAGTGTAGACTAAGGAGTCCACTTGGAGCTCGTTGGACAGCTTGCCTTTGCCTTACAATAATGTATTCGTTCAACATGCAGGCTTCTGTAGGGACAACATGCGGGGAATGCAGCTCAACATTTACCAGCTCTATGGCTGATGGTCTTCAATTATCAATTAAAATGTGTAAATTGCACATTGGCCGCAGTTACAATTACAAAACATGTTTTCATTTGTGCTTGCAATTTGTTGCAACATTTTTAATTACAACTAACGACAGCAACATCAACATAGTGTTACATTTTTGCATAACAAGTGGCAGCAGCGCTTGCTTTCATACCCATTTGGGGCTTGTTAAACAAAACGCAACATTTTGTTGAATGCACCAAGAGCGATGGTGCCTGGAGAAGGAGAAATGTAACGACATTTTGTTGTGTTTCCTGCCTTGCGGCAAATCCTGGCCAGACACGCAACGACACGAAGCAACGCATGTGATTATCATGGCGCTTAATACCTTTTCAGCACACATCCCCTCTCCTTTTCTACGCTTAATGTATAGTAGGTATCTGTCTTTTAGTTGCTTACACTATCTCTAAAACATATGGCTACCCATAGGTAGGTGATAAAACAATGCAGACGGTGCCTGTTCTTGATTGTAGACTCTTAAATCAGTAAACAAATCAAATAAATCAAAGCAAATAAGGAACACATCAAAGTTACGGTTGAACTGGCTCACAAGCTCGCTACAAAAATATATGAGGATACGATATGTTCCGTAAATATTAGCGCTCATACTCATTTAAACCCTTTTACTCGGAGTATAGAACTGAGAATAACAGGTTAACCATAATTTCCACTTTTCCAAGGCAATTTTATTTTATTTTTTACTTTTTTAAAACCTTTTCGATTCAATAATTTGGCTTGAACTCCCTAGACTTTTTGTGTTTAAAGAGACAAACAAAGTGGTATTGATTCGGGTAGAATATAGGGGTATAACAATTAATACCTGTACTCAACCTCAGAAGCGTGTAGGTATACAGAGTCGACCCACTTTGGCAGTCGTGTGAGCATGTGTACACATACGTGCCGCATGTGGCTCTAGCCTATAATTATGTTTGCTGTTGTTCCTGCCGCTGACTGGTTGCCAGTCGAGAATGAGAAGCATTTTAGCGCAAACTGCGCGACTGACAACAAGTGCCAGACAAAGGCGTTATTGCATGACGAGCTGCAGTTGCTGCTTCGTCACAAGCCTTAGCCAACTTATTGGGTGTGAATGTGTGTGTGTGTGCCGCCTTAATTATGCGGCAGTCATCAACAACATGTATGCAACAAAATTGGTTTATGGGCTGCGACGACGACAACTCGATGTGCCTGCCTAACCAACACTCTCTCACTCCCGACACGGCGCGCTGATTGATTGGCAGGCTGTGCTCGCGAAGCCTGTGATTCACATCTGGAAAAGCTGTGGGTGCAGCAACCACTTTGTAATTTTACATTTAATTGCTGTTAATTTGAAAGCGCGAACAGAACGCGCTACTGGTCATTGCTGTTGCATCTAATTGAAATCGCATCAACTTTAAAAAGAATAATACATTTACATTTCCAGTGCATAGAGCATGTATTAAAGTACTTTTGTCGAAATCACAGATTTAAATTCATATATTTTATGTATGGACTTGGTGGAGTAAAGAGGACTTGGCCCAATCTGTATTATTATTATTATTTGGCTGTTTTCTTGTCTTCACTTCTTCTTGCATTCGGAATGTTATAAACTCAAAAACAAAAAGTACAATCGTTTTAAGTTAAAGTACATGGCTAGTCATTTTTGAAGGAACAAATAAGTTGTCCTCTACTTACTCTTTTTTGTGTTAGCCATTTAGCTTAGATTTTTCGTCCTTACTAAAAATATTTCTCTTTTTTCTTCTCCTTCCAGTTCATCTAATGCGCGCAAACAAACTTTTCTATGAGGAAGCAATAACGAACAAAGAAAAAGAAAAATACACTTGGTGCGCAAATATGCGACAGCAAACAGAGTCTGGCGCTATAATGAGGCATATCAGCAAACAAACAATATCAACTAGAGCAATAAAAGCTAGAATAACAACTATCACAAAAACAATGAGCATCACTTAAGTAAATAGAAAATCAACGGGAAAAATCAATACTAAATCAATACAAATAGTGTGAAATTTACTGTCAACATTTGTGGCAAGTGAAGTGAGAAGACAGGCAACAACTCACGACGACACAAGAGGCAAGAGACAAACAAAACCAAACCAAAGCCAACAAAACAACGACAGCAACAATAACAAATACAACAATAACTTACAACAATAGCGACAGCAACAGCCGCAGCAACTGACTGTCATCTGCAACTACATTGCATTTTATTGAGCCGCACAATGGGGGGCAAGAATGCCTCCAGCGGCATTGGTGGAGGCGGTGGCGGCAGCCTCAACTCAAGCATCTGCAACTCGGTGATGACGAATGCGACGAGCAGCAGTCTTACCCAGCAGCAACAACAGCTGCAGGCCAAGTACATCAAGTCGAAGCGCAACCAGAACCGCTACAGCAATTTGCAGCACTCGGGCAGCATCCACGATTCTAGCAGCTATCTACATCTGAACTCGCTCTGGTCCATTTGGTATGGGGTGCTGTTGACGCTCTTTCAGGGCTACTTGGCCATGCATGGAGCGTACAGGTTTCTAGGTAAGTTTAATTGGGCAACAAATGCCGAAGACAGAAACAGAGACAAATATGGGCTACCCATCTTATAATATGTACATATACAAGTATACTCGTGTACTTCTTGATAATAATATGTTAAGCAGGAAATCCGAAAATAGACAGAGTCGATGACTGCTCGACAAAAAGTTGTAACAAGCAAAGTGGCTTCTATTTCTGATGCATCCTTCAACGTCTTTATACTTTCTTAGTTAGTTTGATTATCTTGAAATTTCCACACATAAAGTCATGAAAATGTAATTTTTTGTTGGGATGGGCTTAAAAACAGTTTACAAGTTGTGCCAAGTAATTAAGCCTCGATTGCCTGCTTGAAAAAGTTTATAGTGATGGGCCGTGTTATGTACTTATTGCATCGCTACTCTCCTCTTTGACTAAGTAATTGACTAGTTGACTAATCATAACATGGAAAAATTGTTAATATGTTAATGTATAAGTAGGTGTGGCAGGCCTATCTAATTAAACCTAAGTCATAAAAGGTCTGCTGGTAGATCATTTCAAATTTTGAAAGCTATGCATATTTGAATAAAATCACACTTTGGGTTTGCTATTATAATTGAATTTATTAATAAAAATGCTGCGACAAAGATAGCTTATAATAGCGTCACAAAATATATGGAAATGGCAGTGGCGTTTCAGTTACCTCTGTTGACTCAATAATGTTAATTCTTGGTTTGTCTACAAAGTTATTTAAATTGAATTCAATTTCTTTCGCAGGCTGTTCGCTGATACCGTGGAAAATTGAGCCTGTGGCCGAGCTGAATTTGCAAATTGTGCTCTCTGGCGTTGTGTTTATATTGCTGCCCGTCTTCTTCACATCGGCCGTATTTAAAGTGAGTAACTTTTAAAAACTTTGTGACATTTATGCCTATCAAGGGTCGCCGGGCAACGGGCAGCGCTTTAACTTAATTTCATTGCGCCTACGTAAGTGGTTGACTCAATGAGGGACTGACTGCATTGGGAACCCACGGGAGGGATTGGGAGACAGCTCCACAGCTCCACGCTTGTGCATAGACCGCGAAATTAACTATGAGGTCGTATCTTTGTGTACTATATAAATATATATGTATGTATGGCAGACAACGCACTCAATAATTAAATTTGTTTTTTTTACTTCATTTTGTTGCTGTGGTTGTTTGTGTTGTTGTTGATGTCGTTGGCGTCCCTTTTGTGTTTGTGCGAATTATTTTTAGTGGCATTATTCTCGTTATTAAATTTATTTGCAAACAAAAACAGTAGCGCCAGCATACGCTTCCTGCCTGCCTCTTTGGTCCTTTGCTGGCGCGCGCACCAACACACGCACATACATATGGACGAAATGGCTGCCATCCTGTCGTTGATAGTGCAATGCACTAACACATGGACAGAGGCAATTGCGTTGGTTATCCTGTACACACATGCAGTCGCAGTCCTGTCTTCCTCGGCCCTCTCTGCGCACTGTCTCTGCTTTTATCAGTATAATAAATGCAATTATGGGTTTTCATATTTTCCCAGCAGCTCCACCGTGTTCATGTATGTGTGCGTGTCTGTCTGTCTGTGGGTCTGTGTGCATGTCTCGCCATTACTTTTTATAGTTTTTTCACGCAGCCTCTATAAACGAAATAAAAACGATCATGTCAGTTTTGTGGCATCGCTAGCTAGCTTGTTTGGGATGATAATTTTGAAATGAGGGCCAAAGAAACCAATTGGAGGCGATGGATGTTGATTACCTCAAAACTATAAAAATGATTATATAATCCTTCCAAATTTGTTCGTTTCTCAACATTGAAACTTTTAAAAAAATAAGGTATTTAGTCAAGGTACTCCAAATATTATATGTTTTTGCAAACTTGGCAAGGTCTTAAAATACATTGGTATTTGCCGTTATAATTAGCTTTTAAATGAATTATACGAATAATATAGTATATGTATTTAAAAAAATAGATTGTTTCCATTTGTGTTAATCTTTTTCACATTGAAAAGATATTTCAAATCAAATAATTCAACTCTTGTGTGTTATTGTTGAAAAAACATAAAGTTCCGAGAAGTTTCTGTGTTTTATAGAAATTGCATAACACTCGCACTTCTTTATTCATCTTTTGTTTATGGGAAGTGCAAAAGGAGTCTACTCGATAGAAAAACACAATAACGAAATGGCTCTTTGTGTGTATGTGCCATGCCGTAAAAGCCACTTAAAGCATGTGAGTGTGTTTCGTTGTATGGTGTCAGTGTCAGTGTGCGTGTAGGTGTGTGTGTGTCGGTGTGTGTGGGTGTTGGAGCAGCCATGTTGTCTGTCACTTGGAAAGTCTGTGATAATGCTGACGCTATTACTGTTTGACGTTGCAGCAGCATCTCTGTCTCCTTTTTCGCTCTCTTCGTGTGTCTGTTTTCCGTGTGGTTTTTCACAAATAATTGGCTTGTTTTAAGTAAGACTCGAGCTATTGTTATGGAGGTTGAACTTTTACCGGATCGGGCCGGGCCGTGCCGGGCTGATTGTTGGGAAATTTTATAGTTTGCTAATCGAATAAAATGCTCCTGCTTGGTTAGGTGGTAGAGTAAACTGCAAAATATCTGGACTAAAGTAACTCTTATGTGGTGGTTGGTATGAATGCCGTTTCGTTTAGTGCATATAGTGATGACTGACGTTTTTGCAGCCACACAGACATACTCGAAATAATTTCATTAAGTGCACACTTCATTCTGAGTGGCATAGACCAAAAATAAAAATGCATATAAATAAGCAGACAGGAGCCCGCAGACCACAAAGTGCACACACAAGCGTACCAAAAAGGTTGTTGCAGGAGTGCGGTTGTGGTAGAGGGGAGCAGACATCGAAGCGAAGCAAAAGCTGCCTATCTGTCAGACTACAGGCCGGCAAAGAGTTCATCACACATTGGGCCTTTCAATGAAGACTGCATGAATCACACGGTCTGAGTGACCCAACCAGTCAGTCAGCCAGTATTGCTGGTCAGGCAGTCATTGATGCGTGATTATCTGTGCATATGCAGCAGACACTGGCCAATAACAAAACAATAGCTATAATTTTCAAAACCAACAGTCCGTACTCCATAGTTTTTCCTTACATTTCCGCTTCTAATAAGTGCACTTTTGTATTTGTGTGGCTGTCTGCAAAACAGAGAGAACGCAATTATGTACAAAATCAAAACCCATTCACAGTTGAATGTATTTCAAAATTTGCGAAAATTATCAAAAAATGATATGCTGTCACAAACTTAATGTTGGTTCATAAAGTAAGGCTACTACTACTAAACACGAGTCTCCCAAATTTTTGATTACTTTTTATTCTGCTGTGAATGAAAATAAATATCCTTTTGTTCACAAAATCAACATAATACAAACATGGTTGTGCTAAAAGGGAATGGATTTTTGTCAGTGTTATAAAAACTTTTTACAGCATTGGAAATTAAAAATGGGTCTTAACAGGAACCATTTAGATTTGCAATTTTATTTTCACCAAAAATCAACTGTCTGCAACAACACTAACAACAACAGGAGGAGCAATAATAGAAACAAAAGTTGACTTTTATATTTGCACTGTATTCGAAATTAAACGAAACGAAATGAGTGGCAAACCATGCCATACCATCGTCATCATCCCAGAGCTCAGCAGGCCATGAGGGAGAAAGCATTTTAGAAAATAAAAGCCGCAATGCCGCACAATAACTAAGTGAGTCTGAATATGTATATGTGTGTATGTACTCGTATAGTGTATGAATGTGTGTCTGTATGTCTGCCAGGCGTACGTACGGCTTGTGCAGTTGGCAAGCCAAAAAAGCCCCAACAGCAAATGTGCCGCATCCCCGATGCCGCTGCAACGGCAAAGGCAAAGAGCGGTATTTGTGGATGGGGACCGGTGGGGGCCGAAGTTGTCGGCACGTTTAAATGTATTATCTCGCCGGCTAAATGGGAGAGCTCCTGCCTCTCTCTCAGGCTCTTGTCTGCCATCCAGCGCTCCTTCTGTATCCTATGTGTCTATGTCTTTCCCTGTGTGTTGTGTACGTATGCGTATGCGTTTGCACTTCAAATGCTACGTTCGTTTTCAAAATTGCAATCATTGTTGCTGCAGCACCAACGAGCCAAAACCAACCAAACCCCACCACACCTCTCCATAGCAGCCGAAAACTACCAAAGCGTGGCAACCAAGTCGCGTGTATTTCAATTTTTGCCGTTGTTTCTACATATACCCTTGCGAACAAAAAGTTGTCAAATTTAGTTAAGCTTTAAAGTAAGGACGTTAGCAATTGGGCTATTTGGTTCTATATGAGTGCACAGCTACATCCAACTCTTTGCTTTTGCAAATTTATTGCTCAATGACAAATTTGATGAATTTCGAAAATTGAAATGCATACAAAATTTTAATTTATAGAAGTTTCAGTTTTATTTATTTGGCAGCCATTTCAAATATATTGGCAGTATTAACAGTTTCCCAGACTTTGTGACAAGTATTGTTTTTAATTAGGACAGATACATACTCGTCCAAAGTTCAATATTGTAATTTAGTATAGAGGATTAATTCTCATGAATTCCCATGAATTAACATAGAAATACTGATCTTGTCTAGGTAATCGCAAACGAAATGCTTCCACTGTTGCTAAGAAATCGCACTACTTGCTAAGAACTTAGCTTCCTTGCGTTTTTAGGTCATGAGGGTGTAGAAGTTTCGGTAAGCATTGTTGGGAACAAATGTTCTTCTTTTTAATTTAAAAAGCCAAGAGTACACATTTATATTTATATAGCGCACGTGATTTTTATTTTCATGTGTGTGCCATTCGTACTCGTATGTGTGAGTGTGTGTGTGTGCGTGTTGTTGTATTTCATTTCGCCATTTGTCACGTGAATTTTTTATGCACTCGCGCGCCCGTGCGCACGCAACGATTTATTTTGCTTTACGCTTATGTTATTTTAGTCGCGGAGCGCAGCCAACACGACGTATGCGCAATTTCTTTAACGACATGCATAAAAAATGCACAAATCGCACACAGAGCGCACAATTTTTCGGTGCAAACAATTCCACTACCAATTTCAGCTTTCCTTTTATATTTATTTTAAATTTATTAATTGCACATCAGCGCCGGGCACTTTAGCGGCTCAGCAATTGGTCAGCTGGTGGCTGTTGTGTTTTTGCTAGTATTGTTGTTGTGCCTGTTGCTGTACAAACTTTGATTTATGGTTTGTCCATTTAAAGCTGACAATAAAAACACGAAACAAGCGCAAAATGTGCATTCTTTTTTAAGGCTTTAAATTGGATTTTGCTGCAAAGCAGAAAGAACGAAAAAAAAAAATTCATTTGGTTTGCAAAAATTAAAAAGTACAATAACGTACGTTAGTGTGGGCTCTAGTGATATGGCTATATATTGCATGAATCCACCATAAAGTAGACTCCCAGAGTTTGAAAAATGTCTGGTTTCTGCATTAAATAAATAAATATTTTTTAAAGGAGGAAAAATTAATTTGAATTGACCTAAGACTATTTCCGAATTAATATAAATTTAATTAAATAAGAAACTGGTTGGCTAGATTCATGTCAAAGGGTATCTCCGAATTATATGAATTTGTTGACTTGGTGTTTTATTAAAGCTGAAAAAATAGCAGAAGAACTGTTCTGTAGGCATTGCGTAAAGTCTTCAAGTTTGTGAAATTTTGAAGAAATAGTCCTTTTTATTGGCGATTTTTGCACAATTCCTCAGGGCAAATGAAATGAGTGCATGTGCTTAGCATAGAGGCAGCAAAGATTGCCCGAAAGTTGTCAGGAACACATTTACATGCACATACAAGTACACAAGTATATGCAAGTTTGTCGGCTATTGATGTCTGGACGTAATAAGTTCAAATAGCTTGAGGCCTAGTTGGAAATTCTTGAATATATAGCAGGAAAATAAGGCGAAAGTCTCAAAGTGCATTTTGGCGGCAAGGGAGCCAAGTTGCAGATACTCACATCTTCAAGTTTAAAACTGAATATGTTGCAAGCTTAGTTGGGGAGACATTTCTGTTTAGCATGCAACACCCATACACACGCACACGCACACACACATTGCTATACACTATTAATGCCGGCGAAAAACTTTTTCTGCCATTTTTTTGCGCTTCCAGGTTGGAAACTTGGCAAACGATGGAATCAAATTGGCCACTAGCGCCAAGGAGCGTCGTTGTTCATTGGCACCGCACGATGGACTGGAGGAAGAAGCTCGAGGTGGCACGTTGCGCGCATTGTGGACACATGGCGGACCGACGGCTGCCTTTGTACACATTCTGATTGCATTGTGTTTGTTGCTGCCACGTCTGCTGCTCGAGGCGCGCATTATTGAGAACGGACTGCTGTCAAAAGGTAAGGTAATTAAGTGTTAAGTAGGCGGAGGCCCCGACCATGTAAGAGAGTCATGAATGTTGCCAACAGCACGCTAAGTGCACACAGAGAGAGTGCGGCAAGCGCGGCAAGTGTTTGGGGCATGCATATTAAAAGACTTGCGCCCGTGAAAGTATGCAACGAAAATTTTATTGTTATTGAATACGCGATGCAATTCCTTTTTTCGACACTTCGCGACATTTATTGTTGTTGTTGTTGTTGCAGCCAGCATTGTTGCCTGCTTCTTTATCGCACAATTGCGATTCAATTTACAACGTCCTGCAGAGCATGAATTCTGTGCTTGCAACTTTGTCGCCTCTGAAACTATTGGCGTTTAATGCGGTTGTTGCTTCTGCTGTTGCTGCTACTGCTACTGCTGCCATTGTTTGTGTTGGTGCTGTTGCTTTATGTACTTCCGACCATTTTGTCACTCATACGGCGCATGCAACATTGTCAGCCCGCCTTACAATTGTTTTCAGCACTTTTTGCAGCATCGTTCACTTGCAATCAATTCATTTTGGTCATTTGTCCATGCTATGTTTTTTAATTCAATTAAATTGTCATTGTGTGCAGAAACGAAATGAAATTTGTGCTCAAAGCACAGTGTGAAAAACTGCAAAATATTTATAATGTTCAATTAACGTTTCGCTGCGCAAATTAGAGTTGAAATTTCATATATGTCATTAAGTATGCAAAAGTATGTGCTTGTGAATTTTAGTGGAGAATCATAGCATTATTTTCCCTTATTAACAGGAAAATTAAAATGTAAAATTTGAAAAATCGACTACGATTTGTAATTTACTTGATTTATGGGTACATTTAAATTTAAAAAAGTTTTGTGTCACTTCGAAGTGCCACACGGTGCAATAAAAAGCTCGACAGAGAGCAGCTTTCCGTCAATTGGGCTGACACAGTCCCAAAATCCAGCAAGCAAACAAATCAAGTAGCCAAATGAATGTATGCGAGTGTGTTTATGTAGGCAAAGCAATTCCAATATTTACATGTTTTAGTGTGAAGCAGCATAAAACTGTTCCTGTCCGGCCAAAAGCGGCGCCAGGTTGGGAGGTTGGCTAATATCTGTGTGTACGGGTATGTGTTGTGTGTGTTTGTGCGGTAATGCTTATCAAAGTGAGCATATGGGAATTAGAGGATGCAAAGCCAATCCAGTCGCCATAGAAACGAATGTTCGTAGGAGCATACCATTTCAAAAGAAAACAATTTTGTGTCAAAAGGTTCGAACATAAGGAAATTTTTTTTTAAGGTTGCTTTTCAGCTAAGTCGCAAAGAGTTTGGGAAATGAAATAATGCCGAGCCTAATGTGAAATGCCCTCTACTCAAAAACATATAATTACTTTCGCTAAAAACTTCTCTTAGTATTAGGTGATTTGGATGAAACTTAAATTTGGGCACAGTTTAGTTCCTATTTGTCTCGATCTTGTCTTTATCAACAGATTTGGCAGCCATAAACAGAAGCATGTGAGAATGCTACAGTCGAGCAAGCCCGCAGAAAAATATTTTATTTTATTTTGTAAAAAAAACTTCTGGCGCAAGCAAAAAGAAGAAGAAAAGCTATCCATCTCCTGCAGTTCAATAACTTGTTAAAATGAACCGATTTGGATGCAATTTTAAACACAAGTAGAGAATTTTGTATTTATTACTCTTGCATCGTTTTGGCGAAATATCTATAGTTATGCTGATTAAGAATTATAGGATGAGATATGCTTTCTTCTGCCTAATAACAGTCATTGTGGATCGTTTCGTTGCTGAACTTTTTGTGACATGCTCTTCAATGCTTTTGAATGCTAACTTTTTGCATGGTGGATGCATTTGAGCACAAAGCGAGCACACCATCCAGCCAGTGAGGCCTTCAAAAGCTGAGCCAAAAGCAACGTCCCAATCACTGGGGAAATCTGCAACGAAAACATGCATGACTGAAGCTCGACAAACAAAAACAAGCCACACACGCACACACACACACGCACACATAGAAATGCACATGTACATGGGCTAACAACCACAAGACCAAACATCCAAACATCCAAAGACACAAACAGACACACGAACACATAGAGAACGTTGACAAGGCGGGTGCGCCATTATGTGCAGCAATAAGCCACGTTATTAACAGCTTTGGTGGGGTTGCAAGGGGTCCACCAATGGACCCAACATTTGGTAGCCAGCTTGGCAAATGCTTTGAATGACGCTTTAGTTTCTGTGCATGTGCAGTGCATATATAATATATATTTGCTGTACGGTTGAGTCACTCAGTTGTCGTCATTTATGCCACACGCCCATAGCACACTAAACTAATTCCAAAAGTAAATGAAAAAATACAAGAAAATTGGGAGGGAAAGCACGAGCAACAGCGAAAATTGGGAATGTAAAAACAAAGCATTGAAATGAAAAGAAAACCAAAACAACTGAGCCATGGCCGGTGATCCAGAGGATGTAGGAGATGCAGAGGATGCAGGAAGGGGATGCACATTGGTGTACATGACAAGCAAATCAGAATTAACTACATTTAAAGTGAGTCGCATGTCAGCCATCTGGATGGTTGACTGACGGACTGAATGGCTGAATGACTGCCTGTCCGCCTGGGGTTGATTGAACCGCACGCCAAACGGAGAAGCAGTGAAAACAGAATTGTAAAAAGGAAATGGGGAAAAAATAACAGCGACCATTGGGTGCCGCTGCTCTGATCGGCAATGAGAAAATTGAAAAGTTGGCATAAAAAAGTTAAATAACCGTTAGCAGGCGGTGGTGCCATAAGCATGGGACAAATGCCATTTTGCGGCTGAACGGACACTGATGCCTGTCCAGTTGTATTATAACTACGAACACATCGTACATGAAATCTATTAAATTTTAAGTCTCGAAGAATACCCACAGACGGGGCACCCGTAAATATCGACCGAAGCTTTTCAGAAGAATTAGTGCAAGCAAGCACAAATCACATAGGTTTGTTTCTTGATTAGTTTCTAGACTGTCCAGCAATATCACAAAAATCGCACATTATAATAAATTTACAATAACACATTTGTATTTGTCATCCGATCGGCCAGTTGTGATTACAGACATTAATATATAAACTACCTAATGAAAAAGTTAATACATAAAAGGAAGCTTAATATTAATACTTGTAATTGCAAATTAATTTACTTCAGAAAATATGATTACCTGGTTGGAGTTGAATTAGCAACCAGTCCTGCACGCTGTGCCGCACCTTACAGGCGAGTGTTTTTATAGAAAGAGAGAAAGATAAAGAGAGAGAGTTCTGTTGAGAGTGTGTGAGATTACAATTACAATCATTTGTTAATTAATCTACCTGATTAAATTACTAACTGGACTTGCGGTTTTTAATGAGAAAAGTATGCTTTCATTAAGCTTTGCAGCTAAGGTAAATTCATGAAATGTTACCTCGCATAAATGAGTTAGATTTTCAGCATATAGGTACATAGTATAGCATATATCCTTCTGTGAATCTGTGCCTCTGTATATGTTGGTGTCCACAGAGCCCGCGAACAACTTGTTTGATGCCATTTTTCAATTAAATTCAACAGCATTTTTCTTTTACATTTTGTGCTCGGCCACAAAGTTAACTGCTCGGTTGGAGAGCAAGCTGTTTGCTTTGCCATTTTGCCAATGGTGTCCTGTCGCTCGCAGACGAGTGCAGGATATTGGCCAAGAAAAAAGAAGTGCAACCGTTTAATGGGAAATTGTTTTCGCGCTTGCAGCGAAATTAGAAAATCATTGATACAAATAAAATGTACGAGTATAGCAGAAAAAGGAGCAGTATCCCAAGCTATAGCCAAAGTCAGAGTCTGAGTCCAAGTCCAACTTGGTCATACTCTTGAGTTTCGTGCTAAGTGAAATGCCTTGTACGCTGCATTGAACGTGCCCCCTATAGATCGTCGTCTGTAACTTTCTGTACTTTTCGTGCTCCGGCTATGAGTACGCGATGTCTGGGCCGTCCATTTAGCCATTTTTATGCTTCAGCAAGTTTGTCGTCGTCTTGGTGCGCTGTGCCTCCGAATGGCTGAGCACCGGAGTGCCCGCCCCTAGCAATTTGTCAACGTGGCTGCCATTTTTAAAGACTTAAGCTGCTGATTGCGAACGGCGTTGACCAGTTGGGGCGTCCCCCGTTGGCTCACTTCGGGCTTCAACATTTCAGCAAGTGACGTACGCGAAGCTTATAGCTGTAAGTTGGGTCTTATAATTTCGCTCAGGCAATTAAAAAACTTTAGTTTTGATTGACTTGCGCATTGAGACGACGGAAATGGCAATTGCAATAGCAATAGCAACTTTAACGAGAGCGACGACCACAACAACACCTGCTTGACTGCTACTAAGCCGCTTAAGTTAAGTGCCATCTGGCCATTTACTCCGAACTAACCAGCAAACTACTTGCATAGTTCGGTTCGTTATTGCTTTATTTTAGCTTCAAACTCGACTTTGCTGGCTTGTTTGACATATTTATGAGCAAACTTTTTATGCATGCTCACGAATGGATCAATAATGTATTGTTTAGAACGGGTCAACACAGAGTTTAGAACAGTGCGTATGAAATATTAAATATTAATGTTATTAATGTACTTGTGTAGTCCAGCTCTCTGCCTTTCTTCTATTTCAAATTTAAAATTTGTATTAAATTTGCCCGTTTAAAGACAGTCGAAGCACTGCCATTTATTTTAGTTTATCTTTGTTTCCGAGACTTTGGTGGCTTTAATGCAGTCGAACTTTTTGAAATTTTTAACAAATGCGTTGGCTTCTTAATGGATTTCCTAAGCATCATTGTTTTGGTATTTAATAACGATAATAACTAATTCAAAACTCAGCAGAGAGTGCAGTTTAATGTGTGTTATTATTGCATAACTTTGGCATCAGCATTAAATCAAAGCGAACGATCGTTCAATTAGGCGACTGCAATACGCATTAGCAGCAACTTCCGAGCGCATAAAAATGCTTTTAAAAGTTGCGCCTCAGCTGGCGCCCATAAAAAGCTTTGGGGCAGCAATCAATATGGGTGGAAGCGCGACGCGAGGATGACAAGGGGGGGAATGGAGGGAGGGAGTGAGTCAACAACCGCAACAGAGCTTCGACTACAATTCATTAATTTTTATAATTAAATGGGACTAAAAACAGCGCTGACAAGCATAACACAATTTGATGGTCAAGAGAAAGGAAGAGAGAAAATCACAGTTCACATAAACTGAGAAATTAAAATCACTTATACGCCATGTTGAGCCGCGTCTGCACTCATAAATAATTAATGCAGCCGTCGTCGCTGTGCCAGCCAAAAAGAAATGGAGGGAAGAGCATCGCAAAAACAAATGATAAAAGCAAATGCAAAGCAAACAGACACAGTTGGCCGGCGGAGACCCGTCCGCCGGGTGCCATGGAACGTGGCTATACGAGTATTCGTATCTAAGCAAAAATTCTTATGCGCCGTATTGAGCGCATAAAAGGCTGCTAAACAGCGCACTCAAATTACACGAGCGGCACAAAACGGAAATGGCCCCCGAGACACAAGGAAAAGCGAGCCAAAACACTAAGACAAGCCAATGCGTTGAAAGGAGAGGGGAGGCCTTCTTGCTCCCTAGGCTGCTTTGGTTGGTGCTTTCCTTCACTGGCCAGGCCATATAATGAAACTTATCATTATTCATGCTAAAGACTTAACGAGTTTGAGGTCCGCGTCTTTTGCTTATCAGCATCCACAACTATTACCGCAGCGGGTGGTCGCGGGAAGGTCTGCTCTCAACCTTCAACGTTTGGCTCGGATTTGCGCATTTTCATTACGTTTTGCCCACTTTGTTGTCAGTAGAGGACGTTGCTCGACGTTGCTCCGAATCTGTCGTTGCCTTCCTGCTGCTTCTCGTTCGTTGTCTGTTATTGTCATTGCCATAATCAGGGGAGGGACACCCGGCCACCGGGCCACAGTGCTGGCATTGGGTTAATCTGTAGATTTTCGGTGTTGTCGGTTTTACGAGCCACTTGCCGCTTGCTTGCTGCTGTCATCCTCAGCCGCAGTTTCAGTTTCAGCTTCAGCCTCAGCTTTGGTAAGCCAATGAGGACATATTTTTATGCGACTATTGTTATACATAATCCCCACTCGGTAGCTTTGTCTGGCACGCCATTGTCTTTTTAATATTTGTTCAACAATTTTCATGCTTTTATTTTTGTGCAGCAAGTTTTGTCGCCCGCTGCGTACGCTTTAAAGTAACACGCTTAATAAATTATTTTATGAGAGTGTTAGCTTAGCAAATTTTCTTGTAGCTCTCGGTTGTTGTCATTAACTGGAGCATTAGGCTTAGCATTTTATTGGCTTTCCAGTGAAAGTCTATTGGGAGAGGAAGAGGAGCTTGCCTTCTGTGCCTTCAAAATAAACTAATTAGTAAGCATAATAATTATAAGAAGCTTGACATTTTTGGAGCTCAAACAAGCAAATCAAAGAGATTAGGGCATTGGGAAAGGGTGCTTAAGAAGTGGAATGTGTATCGAAAACCTTGTGGCTGGCAACCAAATTGATTCCCAATTATTTATTTATGCATCCAGCCTGAAACAAAAATTGCAGCTGCTGCCCATTAAATCGTACTCGTACTCTACTTTCCATTTGGATTAGCTGCCTGATTGGGCACATAAGCAGCACGCACTTAAAAAGCTTACCTAGGCATTAATATTCATTTTAACCCAGGCCAGCTAAGCACACTCCAACAAATTTCGAAGAGCTACTCAACAAAGCTTGACCGTAATAAACATAAACATTAAGCTCCGCAGCAGCAGCAGCAGCAGGGAAACAAGCACTAGGGCCATGGATAGCACCAAAAGAAAGGTATAGAGAATAGTTTAATAAACTCCAAATATTCACACATACACACACAAGCAACGAGGGTTAATGTTGGCTAAAATGCGAGTGTGTGTGTAGGTTGGTAATAAAAAAAAAATCAACACGAACATATGCGGCAAATGCGCGCTTAATTGGCTCGAATGACTTTTCCTTCTGTAGCCGTGGCCAAGGCAAGGGCTTTGGCACTGGCAATGGCCGATTTGTTGTGTGCGTTTTCCTTTCTTGTTGTTTTAAGCTTACGCAACATATATATACATAGATACGGTTACGGATACGGATACGGATGTGAGTCTGCTCCTAATGCTTGGCTAAATCAATATCAGCGCTAAAGTAGGCAACGAACTATTTAATGCTTCTTATGAAATGGAAAAGCACAATAAGCACGATTAAAACTCAAGAAAATTGTCTTTGTTTATCAAATGAGTGAGCCTTACTAATGCGATTAAAACGTTTTGAATTTGATTTATAATTGAAATGTAGTTATTATTTGATAATTACTGCTTTATTTATTTATCTGTTAAAATGTATATTAATAAATTGGCGGACCGAATGGGAACAGGAGTTGTTATAATCCGAATGTTATTTCTGAAATAATTTCAAGATTTCTAATAAGTTTATTTGGCCACAAATAATATACATTCCGAAAACTAATGATTTTGTATAACATTCATCTGTATTTTGAAAATGGGTTCCCACTTCTGGCATTAACTGTAAGATTTCGGTACTTACATATGAAGATAATTTTCTCACAGTAAAAAAATAATGCGAGCATTTGTGTAAACAATGGAATTGCTGCTGGTTTCCATTTCGAGTCCCCCAATCCAGACTCAAATCAGAAACGGAAATAGAACCAATTATCTACTAATTTTTTAGAAGAATATAAGGCCTCTGGTGTTTATTTCATTGCAAAGCTGGTTTTAATTGACAGTGAGCTTAAACGATTGTAAAAGCAGAAAAGTAGCCAATAAATTGTTTCGTCGGGTCAGCTATGGGTTCCACGGTATGACTACAAAATTCGACCTAGGCAGTGAAAGCCACTAAGGACCAACAATCGCATAATTACCTGGGCGGAGCTCGTCGCCTCTAGATTAAGTATGTGTTGTGCCTTTGATGCTCATATAGAAGCAAGACCAGATCAGGGATGCTGTTAAGCGGCTTTGCCGCATCTATCAACGCCTCATTTAATTAACGATAGCCAAGTGAAGCGGCTCAGCAGTACGGCCCATACAGTTGGCTTCCTCTTGCTGGTACTCTGCTATTCTGCCAGTCCGCCATACTGTCTGCCTGTCTATCTGTCTGCCTCCCGCCTATGTGCCTGTTTGTTTTAATGCTCATTATACACGTTCATGTTTATTTAAGGCAAATAGGTCTCTGTGTGGGTGCGTTTGTGTGTTATAGGCAGGTGTATGGCAGTGTGTGTGCCAATTAGAACCGAAAGCGCCTTTATGCCCAATGTCGAGACTTTCCTTTATGCACCAGTTCAAAGCAATTAAGTATTGTTGCCATCACTCAGGCGTAAGCTGGACTAACCAGAAACGAATCAATTCCAAACCATAATCTCCATACAATCGAAAGTAAAGTCTCCATGTGACGAACGGCGTAATGGAAATTTATTGAAAGTCGTAGGCAATTCAATTTTATTCAAATCCAATGATTGAGCTGCACAGTAAACGTTTAACATGTGCCTACGAGATATTTAAAAATCTTTTTTAACAGAAAAGTTATGTTCAAACATTTATCTATAATCAAATTTTTATTTTCCAATAGGACTATAAACTGTTTAAAAAAAATAGAGCTATTTTATAGTTGCAATATACTTTTAAAAACGACAAAGTCTACTTTATAGAATGAATGCTCTGCCAGCTATACATCTATTTATTGTATCTGTCAAAATGTACGCGCTTACAACTAACATGCCCTCGTCTGTCTCCTTTTCATTATTGCAGAACAAATTTGGGCCACCGAATTGGATTTTGTTGTTATCAATAGACGGAACTTGATGGCGCTGTCGGTCGTGGGCAAAGGCGGCAACGACCTAGGAGGCTCTGCGTCGTTTCAGAACATAACCGCAACGAGCTTGGAGCACGATGACGAGGACTACTACAACGATACCATGTTTACGGCCATTGGTGGCAGTGGTGGGGCGAGCATCAATAATAATTTGTTCGAGCTGACACGTGATAAGGAGGCGCGTAATGGCAATGGGGGCGGCAGGAAGGCGGCCAAGACAACAGCCAAAACAAAAGCAGCTGGCAAGACAAAGTACTTTGAAGTGCCCGATTTAATTAATCGAGATATTGAGGCACTGGAGGAGCAGCAGGAAACGGAGCTGGCATTGGGCAACGAGGATGCAGATAATGATGGTGCTGGTGATGGTGGCAGCTCTATCATCATGCCCGAATTCGATGTCAGCAATGAGTTCGTGGCCAGAACCACAGCGCCCACCACAACAACACCAGCAGCAACAGCAACACCAGCTACAGGAATGGGCCAAAGCAAATTGTATGTGGGCAATTGGCAGAAGTTGGGCACTTTGGACAAGGCAAATAGTTTGAATGGCATTGAGGAAGCAAACGGCAGGAGCGCCGCAACAGGGCCAGCAGGAACCACAACAAGCAAAGCCGCAACAACTGTAGCATCAACGACAACGACAACAACAACGACGCGCAAGACAGCACACAAATCAACAACAATAACAAAAACAGCAGGAACATCGAGCACAACAACCGCTGCCACAACTACAACTGCGGCAACAGCAACAGCAGCAACAACAGTAGCAGCGGGCCAGATGTACACCAACAAGCAAAATCATCATCAACAACAGCAACATCATCACCACCAGCAACATCATCAGCAGCAGCAGCAGCAAAATCATCATCACAAAGTAAATCGGAAGCATCACAAGCAGCGTCAGCGACAACACCAACAGCACACGCGACGCCAGCATGTTACCTCAAATGAGCAGCAATCATTTGAATCTTCGCTAGAGCAACAGCAGCAGCAACAAACTGTGGCACAACAACCACCTTCCCAAATAGTCGAGGAAGTCACCAGTGGAAACGATGAGACCACCACCCGGGATAGCAACATACATCGTGTGCGGCCCGAAGTGCTGCCCGAGATTATAATACCCTCGACGCCCGTTTCCAGCAACTCCAAGATCATAGCCATTAAGGCCAAAACGCAGAAGCGTCGCATCGTTAAGCGCATGACAGCGGCGGGTGTCGAAATAGAACCAGAATATCTGGTTGGAGATCTGGGACAAGGCAGTGGCGATGTTAGCTCCAATGAATTCATACCCAGCTCCAGTGAACACCAGCAGCAGCAGGTGGAGCAGCTGGAAACCGAGGAGGAACTGGACGACGCCGACTTTCAGGCATTGCCTGCAGTCACGCCCCCAGCTACCGCCCCAGCGCCCGCCTATGTGCGTCTCGATGGCTTTGCAGGCATGTTGCAGCTCTTTTTTGGCATCGATAAGCCCATCGATGTGGGCGTCTTTGCGCAACCGCCCAGTGCAGAGTTCGTCAATCTCTTGTGCGCCCTGCTGGTCTGGACTGTACGCTATCCTGCGGTTTTCTGGAACACCACCAAGTCCTTTGCCAGCGTCTTTAGTCTGCAAATGATTGTGGCTGCTTTGGATATTGTCTTTGGATATGTAGGCGTTTCAAACTTGTACAAACTGCAAATATATGCGGAGGCCATGCCCGTGCACCAGCCAGGCTTGGTTTTAAATGCAACGGTCACACTGGCTCTATATTTGCTCGCCACAGCCCTCATTGTGGCCTCGTCCATGGTCATGTATTTGTACGGTCACGGCAGATTGGCAACGCGTATGCGCGATCGCTCGCTCATCACGCTCAAGACAAGCGAGACTTGGATCTATTTTGCACACTGCGCCTCGCTCTGCTTCGTGCTCGCCCTGGCCGTGGTGAAGGCCCCGTTGTTGAATGATCTCAGTGCCACCTATAAGAACAACTTGCATTGTCCCACATTCCTGGCGGGTAAGTTCATTTATGTACACTTCTTAATTGGAACGAGCTACAATACAAAAATAGCAGCTCATTTGAATCCCGCTACGTATACGATCCTACATGAAAGACTCTACTATTCAAATAATCAAAAAACTTAGCAAGGAACCATTCTTAGCCTTTGATATAATATTGCAGTGGAAAGGAGAAGACATTGCTGAAACTGTAAATTCGTTTAAAGAATGGTAGGAACGAAAGAAGCAAAGACTGAAAAAGAAAGGGAGATTACCGCACTTGGGAGCCAATTAGTCATGTTTGGGTTGGCTCAAGCGAACGCAAACAATGCCACATGTTGGCCATCCAATGCCACTTGTGGCCGCACTCATCAAACGTTTCGCAAGTTGCCAGCCCCCTGGGGGCCCGACAATCAATTACAGGGCCAGACATGGCTCAATTAACCGGCTTATACATTTCGCACGCTCACTCACATGGTTTTAAATTTCTTTTAAACACCTTTCTGATTAACTCTCCCCTTCTCTTTCGGTTTCTGTCTCTCGTAGCACTCATCGGCGTCGTTCACCTGCTGCTGTGGATTGTGATGTGGCTTTGTCTGACCATCAAGCGACGCTGGCACTTCAAATTGCCGCCGCTGGACACATATGGGGCACTCATTAACAAGGCCAGTGCCCAGCCGCTGCTGATGGCGAGCGGCCAGCGAGCGGGCAGCAATTCGAGCAGCGGTGGCAACTCAACCAGCACCACAGTGAATGGAAACGGCGGCGTGGGAGATGGCAAGCCAGATATGATGAGCACGGCGACCAGCACGGAGCTGGGCATGAGCATGGGCATGACCGCCCAGGAGGACATCTATTGGCCGAAGCTGACACCAAGTTCGCCCAAGTTGAAGGTCACCTTCAACGAAGTTACGAGTACGTCTGATGATGTCCTACTAATTGGTGACCAAGAACAAACTGATGGCAAGCGGTAAAAAATCGTTTTTTCGTTAACAAACAGCAACAAAAAAAACCAAAACCTATACCAAAAAGAACATTCTCGGCACTCGGCACACGAAATGAAAAGAAACGAGCCTCCTATTGGGTCTCATGCACATCCCACATCCAACATCCTGCCCAGCCACCCTCCGTTTATGTAGTTTCATTTAGTTTCACGCACACCAAGAATAATTGAAAACAGCCTCTTCCAAAGCACCCAATGGAGGAGCGAAATAAAGAACAATAATGAAACTGTCCGTTGCTCCATTTTGTGTTCAATATTAAATTTCCATTCTCGGTCACTGGCCATTTTTCATTTTTGTTTCCCATTTTTGTCTGAGTTTTTGTGTCTGTGGTGTTCGACTCGTACTCGTACTTTATTTTTGTGCACGCTTCGTTAGCGGCCGGCAACAAATTAGAAACACAAATTAAAGCCAAATGCATTTTTAAAATTATTGAGTCGCCATTAGTTATACTCTTTCTTTGAAAAGTGTTTTTAGGACCAGTTATGTATAGCACCTGTAGATATTTTGCATGACCTTAGTAAACAATTATTATTTGGAAAATAGAAATAAAGTTTAGAAAATATTTGATACTTAAGTTTAGGGCACACTAGTGCACTAGAAAATAAATAATATTGCAAATTATTTGCAATTTAAAATTATGATTTGAGGACTTTTAGTATAAATGTAAACTAGTGAAAGGATTTGTCAATAAATCTAGGGAATTTCTTAAAGGTGAACATGAAACGTGAAAATTATTTTTACAGAGCTTTGTCAGTTTTTGCTATTTTATTTCAAATTAGATTTGGGAATCAATCCCGATCTCCGCTTAAAGCATCTTCATATCAGCAATCCCTGATTTTTAAAAGTATTTTCCAAACACACAGAACTATAAATTGACAGCTACTGTGTAATATTAACAGAGTTGAGAATTAGCCTTAGCATTATTCCTATTAAAGTTAAGTTGTCACACAAAGTTATATTTTATTGTTACAGAATATTTGCAAAATCCTAGGCAATCATTTTTTCCAAATCGATTTCTTTCGTTAGCATAATAATTTGAACAATTTATTTTGACACTTTCAAGAAGAGTATTTAAACATTGGTTTGGTCTGTTTTTCTCCTTTTTTTTGCCAATTCATTTTGCTTAATAATTAACACTTTTTCGCTTTCCACCAAACAAACAAAATTGAACAATCGGCAGATTTTTTTTGGGAAATATCCGCACTGTGTGTGCATTTGACTCTGATGATTTGTGTTTTTAATGAACAAAATTTGTGGAAATACAGCACCTGCACATACTACATTTGTATTTGTTGTACAATAACCCGAACCAATTTTAGTTGTTGTTGTTCTTGTAAAAGCACACAATTTTATTTAAGCATTTATTTGATATGGATTTATGAAGAAATTGCAACTAAAATTCAATATTTGCAAGAATACACTCGTATTTGTATGAAATGAGAAGGAAAGAGAAAGAAACTATTTTGTTCCGCTTGTCGCCTGTTTTATTGAGATTTGTACATGATTTTTATTTATTTATATACATATTACATACTTATATATTTATACATACATGTTAGCGTGAGTCTAGACGTTAATTAACATCAATTACTAATTGAACGAACTCGTACTTGCATTCAAATCAACTGCGAATCAATTAACCAAATTTTTGTACTAATCGCATCAAACTAACACACACACACACACGCACACATTTGTTGTGTCTAGTCTTCGGTAAAATTGTTTAACTAACTGTACTAATTGAGCATTGCCAAATTGTAATCGAGCTAATCGAAATAATGCAACTTAACGAGACATGTAAGTGACCAGAATGTGAAGTGCGAACGTTTACGAAAATATTAACAAATTCCTTGTGGTTATAACAATGCATATGTATATGGATGTATGTATGTAGTAATACGAACATACGACGTCTGAAAATTGCAGCTGAATCTAATGGAAGCTAACTTGCTTTTTAACATAATAATAGACATTGCATGTATGGGAAGGCTCCCTTTCCATCCATAGTTTTTTATGTTTCCATGGTTGGAACTTGCAATATTCGGGCTTCGCATCGTCGAACTTAATTGTAGAGACATGGACATGGAAGAGAATGCTCTGTGGATGATTTATAATGAATACATTTCTTATTGAATTTCGTTTTCGATTTAATAGCCATACGAGCCGTGGAACCGCGGTATGTTTTGCCAGTGCTTCGGGGGAAGTTGACGACGGCGAGTACGCGACATTAAGAGCGGCAACTGCGGCCACTGTGGTGGGCATTACGAAGGGCGGCATTGGCAACCATTCCAGCGGCAAGTTGCGCGGCAGCAGCAGCAAAATGTTGCACCTTAGCGAATATGACGAGCTGCACATTCCTCAGCAGCAGCAGCACCAGCAGCAGCAACCACAACAAGCTCAGCATCCGCATCCGCATCATAACAGCGACTATGCCAACCTCAGTGGCTTGGGTGGCATTAGTGACGACAACATCTCCGAGGAGGGCAAGTTGCTGGCCTGCGTGCGTGATGACAGCATTACTTATGCCTCCACGCGAGATCTGGAGCCGCCACAGCCACAGCCGCAGCTGCAGCCACAGTCCATACCAGCACCACCCCCGCTGCCAGCTAAGGGCGCACCACAGCCAGCACCACCGGCCATTCAGCCACATCATGCCACCTACGGACGCGCCCCACAAGCCATGCCCGAAATTATGCAATTGTCCTCCACATCGCCCGAACATCATCACCGACAACAGCCGCCACCGCCCCATCAGCATCAGCCACATCATCAACAGCAATCTCAGTCGCAGTCGCAGTCGCAGTCCCAATCACAGTCACAGGCGCAACCACATCATGCGCCCCTTCAACAGCATCTAGTCAGCCCTCTGGCCCCGGTCACGGTCACGGTGCACACCAACGAGGCGCATGTGAGTATTCGAATATAAACATGTGTTGTGTCACGGCCCACATCCCCGCCCGAGCTCTACTCCCACCAACTGTTCGACCTGCATGTTTCGTTATTTTAATCTACATACATTGTTGTTGCTCTCGTTGTTGTTCTTGTTGTTGTTGTTGTGAAATGTCACGCCTCCGGGCCGCACTTTCGTTGCAGCCATGCACAAGATTTATGTGCGTCTTTATGAGACAGCATAAATCAGTGGGCCAGGCCCAGCATCCGCGCGGAGAGCAGACAGCAGTGTCCGCATCTGATGGATGATGTGGTCGGCTGGGCGCCTCTCGGCGTGGGCCTGTCTGCTGGACAGTGCGAGCAGTGGACAGTGCCTGTTTGACTAGACTGGCCTGGCTTGCCTGATTTGATTTCATTTTGCACTTGCAGACAAATAATTGAAGGCCAGCAGCAACTCCCTCTCGCTCGCTCTCTCTCTCTCTTTCTCTCTCTATCTTTCCCTCCTTATTTTGATTAGAATTGCAATTCAAATTGTTATGTAGCAGCATCGGTAGTTCCACAACGCATTATTTCATCAAATGGTCCCTTTCCGATAACTGCTTTTTCCGTTTGTCCATAAAAACGGATAGAGAAGAATCTGCAAAAACTTAGAGCAGTCTTCATTTTAAACATTTTCCACAGAAAAGTGAATAATCAAACAACTATATACTAAAATATGTTTGATGGTAGCCTCCTTTCTTGGGTTGTTATCGCTGCACAACACCTGTTATTTTTTTCTCCATGCACGTGAATTATTTCAACTGTGCTATAAATTTGTCAATTGGCTTTTTGGTCAGCTCTTCCATACAAATTAATATAGACGTTACAGACGAGTCTTGACATTTGTTAAGTGGCATTGTTATTTATTGGCTTTATTGGTTCGTTCGCAGTCGTCGATATTGCGAATAAATTCTGGCAATTCGTCATTGTCTCTGCTATCAATGCTTGGCGTTTATCGTCCTTTTACCTATGATAGTATTCTAATAAAAGTGAGTAGCATTGGCGGTGCTGCCAACTCAATTAAAGAAAAAGGCGAATTGGGTTCTAGTTTCCTCATAATAGGTATTGTCTGAACTAACTTCAATTGTGGACCAGTCAGAGATAGTATTAGATGCAGAATCTCCTCATTATTCAATTTGAAATGCAATATCAGTCTTCAACTAAGCGAGCTATAACTACAAGTATGCTCTGATGTAACTTTTCGATATAAGCAACCTCAATCCATTTCATTCAACCCCAACTCTTTCTTTATATTTTATCTTTATTTTATTTTACCCTGCTATCAGATTGCCTCCAGTTCCACACCCCGTTGCCTACGTCGCGCCGATTCGGGCGTACCGAACGAGGCGCTCACACCACGCAGCGACACCACCTCGACCACCGAGAGCACCACCTCACCACCGGAACGTGCACCCTCCGAATCATCCAGTGGCGTTCATTCGGGCGAAGAGCGCGAAATCGAAGTTGTCATACGACCTCGCACCATATGCAAACAACCACCCAAACCACCACAGCCACCCATACAAGAAGAGCCATATGGTCGCTGCACCAACATGCGCATGTCCAGCTTTAATGCCGATCCAGCGGCTGTAGCTGCCGCAGCCGCTGCTGCGGCCCAGCTGCGCATCAATAGCGCCACCTTACCATTACAGCGCCCGGAGCAGAAGTTCGACTATACGGCGCACTGCAGCACAATGCCATTGCCGGCGGGTTGTCACAGCCAGCAACTTGTCGGCGGTGGAGCTGCCAATGGCGTTGGAGGCTACGCCTCTACCTCAGCCATGCAGCAGTCGATGACCGCTTCGTTAGGTGGTGCTGTGCCGCCACCACCGCCCTCGCAGGCCAGCTTGTCCAGCTTTAAGACGCCGCCCAACATACACTATGCCAACACTGTGGTGGCTCTGGGCGGTGGTGCTCAAGCGACACCTCACACCACTCTTCCCAATGGCGTACGTTACTCGAATCCACACTTTTTGCGCCGCCTCCCTCCCCACGTGAGCAAGGCGGCGGAGTCCCCATACGGACATCTGGGCTATGGCGCTGGACATCATGCATTTGCAAAGCTCCCACATGAACCACTCCAGACGCACAGTCTGGTCCACACGGCTATTCCCGAGGATCGCGACTCGGCCAACTATTCAATGGCGTCCGACCAGGACTGTGGACTCTATGTGACGGCGCAGTTGCATTAGAATGGTAATGGTATGACAATAGCCCTTAAACAGAAGCAGTATTTTAAGCTCAAGTGCGAACTTTAGTCATAACTCTCACTAATATATAAACTAACAGATAATTAGAGACAGTATATGTGTACTCGTAATCCCCTACCCTAAGTGTATAGAAAATGTGGCATCGTTTTAGTTGGTTTTCTTTTTAGATTACTTTCGTTTCTATACCGTTTTATACAAAGAAGAAAGGGGTATACTAGTTTGGTTGGAATGTATGTAACATGTAGAAGGAGGCGTGGCAGACCCCTATAGCATATATATTCTTGATCAGCATAACAAAACGAGTCGTTATAGCCATGTCCGTCCATCTGAGCGAAAGGATCTCTGGAAGTACAAGAGCTAGAATAGCCAATCTTGGTATCCGCAGCTTCCGTAATCCTCAGAATTTCTCATCAGATAGGTAAGTTTTTAAGAAAGTTGTAGCCTAGCTCTGCCAGCAGCTGTTGTTGTTGCTGCCTCATCTCTGTACTGCCCACATACACACTGTATATAAAGCCGTGGGAAAAACCAATAAAACAAATAAATCCGTGTCGGCTGGGGATAAGGAGAGTCTATCAATTTTGGTTAATGACGGACAGACGAGCATGCTGATTAAGAATATTTATACCGTATGGGGTCGTAGGAGAAGCTTCCTTCTCTCTGTTACTTACTTTGTAAAAGCCTTATATACCCCTTTGATCTTTCGAGTATAAAAATGTAGCCCTTATTTTGTTATTATTATTTATATAATTATTCTACACATAGGTACATAACAAGTCGGGTCGCCCGACTTTAGCTTTTCCACTTGTTTTGTTTTTTTATATAGCAGTCGGCGCAACACATTAATTGTTGTTAGCATACTAAATCGTAAATCTTCCAAGTGCATTTTAAAACAATTGAACGCATACACGGGCCCTTAAAAATACTGAAATAATTTGCAGCGAAAATCAAAAGGTAAACTAATATGAAATCATTTTATTTCATTATTTTAGTAGACAGACATTTCTTTTTTTTAATTGAAAATCATCAACAATGCTAAATATTAACTAAGTACCAGCTAGGAATGGCATTGCGATCGTATAGATGCTTGGAATATGGGCTTCTGATTTATTTTTGAAAATAACGTGAAATATTGATTCTTTGAAATAAATGTATGCTCCCCTCTTTGGTTGGAACAGCCCGTGTATGCACCTTATCTCTCAATAGTTGAAGTACATACCCAAACAGATATGTAATAATGTTGTGATCGTAAAACATAAGCTGATTATTATTTGTTTGTTTCGCAAAGTAGAACCACACATCCTCTAACCTAAGTAGGTGACGTCCAGTCAACAGAAAGAAAACCAAAACGTCGGGCCACAAAATTGTATGAAATATAGGGATGGCTGCCAATCCCATATACATATGTAGAACTCTACTACATATTTACTATGAAAACATATGAATTCGTATACAATGTGTAAATGAATAAGGATATTAATTAATTGATGTAAAAACTGAACAAACGCACAGACGCCGCTTCAAATAAATTAAAGTAAATAATAATTATAAATAAAATATCATATCACTAAGAAAGCTATACTCGAGAGCTAGTAAATGGAACGATTTACAACATTTGGCATAAATATCTAAACTAAGCAATTGTCATGCATATTAATATGAAATATATTTAATTATAATTATGTGCAAGCACCCAACAATTTTCCCCAAGCAATTTCTTCTACAAACAAAATGCATACGAATTTAAGCTGCAATGGTACTCATGGTTCTAATACGAATATTTACTTACCGAAGACGTATACGTATACGTATAACTAGAGCCGAACTATTGCAAGAACTTAATACTAGCTATGACAGAAAGCTACTCAATCCTTAGCAGTGCTTCAGCTAGTCAAAACTTAGGCTTCTCGCATACTCGTATTTCTACCCGTATCTAGTAGCTTATACGCGTACGAGGAACGTAAAATGTAATGTAACAAAGCGACAATATGAAATTATTTAATATAAAAGGAAAACAAATACTATGTCTAATGTAAACGCAAATCGTATACCTATCTAAATATGGAACCACTTGCATTTTGACCACTCAAGGCACATACTCACACAAGCTCAGAACTCACGGACTTTAAAGTACACCTCATACATATCCCCCAAAATGCGATGAATGCAAAGACTTCAACTCCAAATACCATATATGTATGTATCTAAGCTATCGCTTCAAAGCGCACAACAATTAATCCCACAACAATCTGCACGCATTTTAGAGTCAAGGATACGATATCAATCACAGTCTGCACCTTCATTGAGCATTGGAACGCATTTATTTTTGTTGTAAAGACTGATTAGTGTTATAATACAAGAAAAGGACAGTGAGCTGCACAGAACGATCCGTAACCCCGCTTGCCGTAACTAACAAAAAAATCTAAAAATTATTCAATAATAAAGCAAAATAACATACCTATATGCTATATACATATATACGATTATAAGTATATATAATTTTGCGTATTCGTAGTCTCTTTAAATCGGTTCCTTTGAAAAAGAAGAGGAAAACAACAAAGATGATGCATGATGGGCATTCTAAGAATTATGTTAAGCGAACAACTTTTGTAAAATAATTTCAATGCAATTAAAAGTTAATTACACTTTTAACCCGAATACAAAGTATGAACAAACTAATCACTCTATTGAAATTATTTTTTTGTATATTTAACTAATCGAGCGAAATTGTAAATGGATAGTAAGGATAGAGCCCCAATATGACTTAATCGCGCACTCACCTAACATACAAGTATATATGCAAGATATTGAATATTATGATTAAATGCATACCTAAATGTTTAAATTATTTATACTATATAAATATATATATATATATATATATATATATATAAATTTAAAAGGTTTATCAATGGTAAATAAAGAAATACCACCGCTTTATGTGAAACCCCAGAAAACGTTGGTGTTTTTAATTTCACAAATAGGATCCGATTTTGACATTATCGGGAAATAACATGTTAAAATTAGGAAGCCCAGACCCCAAATTAAACAACCATGGTTTGCTTTATTAGAAAACAATTTTAATGAATTTCTTTGTTTGTTCTTGTTTTGTTTTTTAATATCATTTGTTATTTAAATGTTGTCTTTCAATTATATGTATATAATATATTTTTTGTTTAGTTTTAGTTTACACAATTCGAGTTGTGTGCTTGTCAAGTTATGCTCATCATTGCAAATTTGTAATAATATAATTTATTTCTTTTTTATTTTACATATTCAATTTCACAGTTTATTGTCGTTTCTCGACTTTCGATTGTTGTCGAGATTTTAAAATACAATATATATCCGCGTGTGGTGCGCTCTTTCTTCATTCATCTCTCATCTGATCTGCCATTAAATACTTTCAATAAATGATATAATTTGTTGTTGTTGTTGTTGTTGCTGTTTTTTATGTTTTAAAGTTGTTTATCAGTTTGAACTTAGTTAGTAGCATTTCTGGTTTTGTTCAAATAACTTGTCGTAATATATTTTTCGATTTTGCTTAGCTGCAACATTTCTATATGTTTGTCTTCTTCAGAGAGGTGTTGGAAAATGTTTTAAAAATTACTTTCCGTCAGTTTTTCATTTATTTTTGTGGCACATCTCTCACCCGTATATACCTATCTATATATAGTATATATCGGTTAGTCATTATGCCGCAAAAACAAATAAAAACGTACAAGTCCTATAATGTCGCTGCTTGAGTTACTTTATTTGAATGTTTCGTGTAAGAATACGTAATTAGAAAAATGTTGCAATGACTCATCGCTTTATACCCTTTCCAACAATGGTTATAGCTGCTAGCCGAGCAAGACTTTTTTCAGCAACGAGTGTAAAAATCTCTCGTTAAAAAGTAATAATAACGTAGAAATAAACTTCTAACCTTACTAACATTCCACCAATATTATTGCAATCAGCAACATATTTCCAGCCAGTAGTTCGAGAATATAAATATTTTATACATTTATTTAAGTTGAAAGCTTGAATGATAAAGTGGGGCATTATGTACTCTCCCATGCTCCAAATTTGTTGCTAGCAGCTCCTTTTATCACAGACATTTTGGAAAGAGCACAACAACTTCGGGGTGCCGAAGATGTTTTCCCTTTGAGGACTCTGTTATTTATTCAGTAATGTAGCGTGGATGTTCTCAACTTGTTCGTATGTCAGATTCATTCTATATAGGAGCATATAAATGTCTTAAGGAGCACTTAAATGAAAAACTAGAAGCTTTCTTGTTATAGAGTTTAGCATAGAAAAGTGGTTGTTGTTGTTGCTATGAATAATGTGTGACGGAGTGTACAACGCTTTTATTATTGATATATGCATTTAAATATATTTATATACAATTATATCTCGTCGGTATGTATGCATGTTGATATCGTATATTTTTCTAAATAGTTGCTGGAAACCTCGCTGGTAGTTAAGAAGTTTAAAGGGTATAGCTTCATAGCTCCGGCAACATAACTCCGGGCCGAGATATGTCGCTTTTAGATCAGCGGAGATATGTCGATTTGGAACGAAATAGCTCCGATTAAAAAGCGACATATCTTCGCCTCAAATATGTACTAGGATATATGTCATCGGAGTTATGTTACTTTGCAGTTAGAAGCATTTTGTCATGAGCGCGATGTTCTGTTTAAATGTTTTGCAGCAACATTTTGAATGCATTTCACCTTTACTTTATTTGTTTTTAAGTTTTATTTTTGGCAATTAATTACGTATTTGTTTCCGTGTGCAGTTAGAGTAGTATATATGGATGAATATACAATATATGTGTAAGTAACTAAGTATGCTTTATAGCTCGGATGGATGTGATTAGTGAACGAGTGTTTGTGTTAGTGTGTGTGTCTGCGCAAAAGCTGATGAATGGACGGAAAGGTTGTGAACAAACAAACTTCTGCCTCGAATTTGAAAAATATGGAATAGGCTCTGTAAACAGACGCCAAATTTATACTATCTAGCTTTTGAAAATATACAAGTAGTATATGTGTGTATTTAAATGAATGCAATAAGTCAGATACTTAAACTCGTATGATGCTTTGATAGGAACAATATAATGTGATGCTCTCTTCTAGTTAGCTATACTTGTATATCGTATCGTATTATATCATTTAGATGCTACATTACTCGTATATATATAAAAATCTGTTTCAGTTTCTGTTTTTGTCGTATCCGGGCATGATATGTTTACTCAGAGTGAACGAATTTGTGCCGCTGCCAACTGTAAGTATTTAACAAATGCAAATGCATTGCAAAATGTTGCAAAAAACAATTGTTGAGCAAAACCGCATAGCGTTTTAGCTCCGACGACATATCTCTGCCGAACTAAAACGACATAGCTTCGATCGGAGATGTGAAATTAGAAAACGACATAACTCTTCGCGATGTTTTAAAACGCCTCAAAATGATATAACAGGGCGCGAAGCTCGGACCGACGATATGCCACTAGAAAACAATATGTCGTTGGAGCTATATTGCTATGTCAGCAAAACACTGACGCTAACACCCACCAACGTTGCAAATAATTAATTGATTGCATTTCTGGAATTCATGCTCCGCCCTACTTGTAGAACTAGTGCTTAAAATGCGTTTATTTATGCTTTATGGTTTATCAAGCAGGTAACTCTTTTTTTACAGCTCACACTATTAACTTGAAGGTACTTAATGCGTTCGTTCGATTTATGTGGCTTTTCATTTTCAAATATGTATGCATGTATGCAGTCCTCTAGTAGGCATTAAAAATGTATGTGCGGTTGAATTTCTAAAAACCAAACTTAAAACGGCCAAAATGTCAAAGTCAGGTCTTAGCTGAGTAACAGGCGAACATAAACCAGCAGCAAGCAGCTGATTTTAATTTTTTCTCGGTCGAAAAAAACCATAGCATACTTTTAGTTGCAAAATTAAATTCAATTTTTTAAATAATGTAGCATACTTTTGGGGATAAAATTAAATTTTTTGGCAGCCTGCTGCTGAATTATGTTCGCCTGGTATCTCGGTCAGATTTTTAGTCAAAACGCGCATTTGGCGCAGCCTGCAAACAAAATTTTAGCGAAACAAGCAGTTGTCGCAAATTAAAGCGGAAGTGAAGCGTTGCCCATATGGTAAAAAAAGGTGAACAAACTCTGCTTAAAAACTTCAACACTTTGGGGTCGCTGTGAAGTTTTTCTTGCACAACAAATTGTTACAAATGCACACATAGCAAAGTGTAAGTGTACTCGTATGTAGCATACATACAACACAAAGATATAGATTTGCCTCAGTTGTATATAGTAACGGGTAGTGTTGTATGTTTTCTGTTTTGCTCTAGTATGTACACAACTTAAACCGAATGTACTAACTTTAATGTATTTTCTAATTAAATTTGCACATTGCGTATGGTAAATATTTTGCTTTTGTTGTTTTTTTTTTATTCATTTTTATCTTTATTTTTGTTTTTGGTTTGTAATAATACATATCTCATATCGCTTCATCATTTATCAATTATTTTTATATGTATATTTGTTTTTAGTCACTTTAAGTTTATCGTAAGTTAGGCTTATTTAAGTGTTAGTGGTTCTTTGCTTGCTTAAACTTTAAATACGTAAGAGCTAAACGTTGCGCTTGTCTAAACTTAACATCATTTATTGATTTAGATTAAGCTATTAAACAATTTTATCATCATCGTTCACACACAACTGGGTTTTAAACTCTGCTGCTTAGCTTTAAGTAAGTATATATATTTATATATATATGTATATATATATATTATATGTATATGTATGTATGTATATAACCGACATTAGCACTTTGTTTGGGTTGTTTTGTTTTGTTTTTGTTTATCAATAGTAGTAATAATAATATAATAATAATAATTTTAATCATAATAATCGTATTACGAAAATAATAGTGATCTTAGTTGTATTGTATAATAAAAATTACTCAAATATGCATAATTTACAAGTATACCATCTCTTCAACAAGTTGTTTGTTTTCAATTACATTTTCCTTCATTTCATTTATATTATATATATCTATATGTATATCATAGTTAATTTAAATCATTTACTGCTTGTGTGTGTGTGTGTTTAATATTTTTATAGATATTTTTGTTTTTTGTTTGTTTTAAATGCATTGTTTTTGTCATGACTTAAAAAAGTTAATTTTCTCCTTTTTATAGATATTTCTGCATTTCATATTTTTGATGGAAAGTTCACTGCTTGTCTTTGTTCTTCTGCTTCTTTTCGCTGTTGTTGTTGATGATGTTGTTGCTGCTGCTGCTGCTCTTGTTGTTGTTGTTGTTGGTAGTAGTAGTAGTATTAGTATTGAGGAAAAAAACGTTGGACTTAAGCATAATACAGCAACGCGCACTCCAGAGTTTAAGCCCAAATGGCGGCAACGTCGGCTCTCAAATTGTTGGGCAACTTTGAAAAATACGTTGGTCCGCTTACGCATTTGTATTCGTACGGCTTTTTGTTATTTGGCTGCCTGGCTGGCAGCTCTTTGTAAAGGTTACTGTAAAATGCAATCAGACAATAAGTTAATAGCTCTTGGAATCACAGCATAATTAGTCTGTTAATGTTGTTTTTGTTAGTTGTGTGAAAACGGGCAAATTGTTTGTTAGTCGACAGTTTGAATGAAATTTAGTATACGAGTAGTAAATATTTCTGTGTTGGTTGTAAATGTTCTTGGATTGGTTTGGTTTGTTTGGGGTGTTGTTGTTGTTATTGTTGTCCTGTGAAAATGACAAAATGGCAATATGGCTTTACTAGCGCACAAGAAAAGCAGCTAAGAACTTCATGTGCTTGATTGGAATTTGATAAAAATTTGAGCAAATTGCGTGCACTTACAATTCAGTTCATTAGGACCTTTGCTTAAATGCAAGTTTCTTTTTTTTGTTTTTGTTTCTTTTGTTTTTTTGTTAACAACAATCTATCGAATTTGTTTGTGCTTGGTGCTTAAAGTGTTTTCGCTGTTGTTGTATCGCCGCCGTTCATTAGAAACTGTTATTCACCCGGCTCCTCCATTATAACAGATTCGCCGGCCCAAACGATCGGACGACCCTGGTGTGTGTGGTTTTTGAAAAATGTTAGTTATGTTGTTTCTTCTGCTGGAATATCGGTTTTGCAATATAGGTTTTGCAACTCTAGAAACTTGGCGAATAGCTAAATGAAGAGTATGTTTCTTTGCTAGCCAATGATTGCCATCTTATACATACAAGTTGGAGAAAGGTGAACTAATTAAGGTGTTCATTTATTTTCTGGCTAGTGTGTGTTTGTGTGTGCGTTAGTTTTTAGAAGTAAGTGTGGTTTTATGAAATATATAGTATTTATCTAGTCAAAAGCCAAACTAAAGTTTGCAGGCATTCAAGTGCTTAGTTTTGATTTGATGTCCACACCACATTACGGCGGGTGTTGACAAACATTTCTAACTACAGCATACGCTCGATAATGTCAATTGCAAACTTCACTAATTACAAACTAAAATGCCCATCAAGTTTTAAGTATCTAAGTATCAAGTCCCTAAAAAAAATGAAGATTAGTTTTGTTGTAAAATTCGTTTAATAGTGCGTAGAAAATCTAAATAAACCATGCCCCCAGGTAAATGTCAATCACTCACTCAGTCAGTCATTCAGACAGTCGGAATAAACTGTAGAATAGATAACAAAAAATCATGTTTCTTCTATTCTAGTTTGAAGACAAATTGAAATTGTATAACATTTTGAAAAACTAAGTAAAATATAGAGGTTTTTCTTTATTGAAGAATCTATTCTACATTCTCATCTCAGCTGGTAAGAATGTATAAAAAACTACTGGAAATATTCAAATAAAATGTTGAATGTAAAGTTATTCTTAATGTATTCTGTATCCGAGAGTTAAGTTAGAGTTAAGTTTTTAACCAATATTAAATAAATGATTTGAATTTAATATAAATTGAAGCGCCGTTATTATATATTCTCAATCATATTTTCATTTCAAAAATAATAAACCATAAACTTTCGAAGGCAAACATAAGTTTCCACTACGACCCATTAATGGGTGTATGGTGCCTGCGATATCGACTCGACTTCATGCTGATTTAATTAGTGACTAATGCTGATTGTTGTACTTGTTTTAGTTAAATGTTAGTTTGACTGTGTAATCAGTTAGTTTATCGAGCATATACTTATTTCTACGCATGCACGAAAGAGTAAAAAAGTAAATGTGTGAGAGTGGTTTAGTATTGTTATGGTGTGGTTAGGTGTTGTGGTGGTTGGGTAGAGTTGGGTACTTTGGGATAGAGAAACATACCTATGTGAGTACTGAACGAGTCTATAAAAACTACGTTGAAGTTGTATGCTATGCCGTAAAAACGTAACGGTGATTTAGGTGACTTGCGAGAGATATACGTTTTGTTTTGGTTTGATTTGCTTTGCTTTTTGGTTGCTTTTTGTACGAGCTTTGCAATTAAACTTTGGTTATTGTTTCATATTTAACGCTTAAATTCATTCGAGTAACACATTGTTGTTGCCTCAGATTAAACATAAGTGTGTGTGTTTGTGTGTGTGTGTGTGTGTGTGTGTACGTGTATATATGTATGTATGTATATATTACTATATATAACAAGCGATTCATTTACAGGTGTGTGCGCGCATTAATGAGTGGCTAATTTTAAGAAACGTTTATGCTATTTCTATCGAAAGCAAATGCAAGATACTTTACTCAACTTGTTGGCTATTTAACATTTAACAACTAAACTCTGTAAATGTTGTTTGCTTTTTGTTGCTGTAGTTGTTTTTGTACATGTGACTTCATATATGTGTGTGTGTGAGAGTGTGTGAGTGCTCTTTGCGAACAATACTGTTCTACTATGCAACTATGAATGCATTTGTACGAGTATTTTTATGATTCTGCATTTGTATTATTCATATACATACTCGTATGTACGAGTATATGTTTAGTATGCATATTTACTGATTACGGAACAAAATACAATACATGTGTAATGTATACATATTATGCAAATATGATGTTGTTTTTGGCAACTAGCATCTTATACTTGTATATACATATATACGAGCATAGGTATATATAGTATTTTTGCGTTTTTTGTACGTTTTGATTTGAAAGTTTTTAGAGTTATTAGAGTTTTTCGAGTTTTTAGAGTTTGAGTGAGTCGAGTGAGGCTATTGATGAGCGCCTAGAGCCTAAGCCTATATTAGTGGGACAACTGACCAGTGAGGTGGTGCCAAAGAGCTTGTACCAGCCGATAACGATATTCGATAGATTGAGATCGTCGAGCATTATCTGTGCCACGCCCATAAATACTTTCTTTTCGATGCGTCCATAATCGCCCCAAACGGTTACCTGAAATTTGCAAAGTATACCAATTTTTGAGCATCCTTCGAGCATTTCATATCCAATCTGAACTCACTTGTAAAACGCAACCGGTGTAGGGCTGTTTGAAAACCAATTGCTGCTGGTAGAGCGGATCGAGGGTGCGACGCGCCGTAGACGTCTTCATTTTATCGATGCATCGCTTGCCCGACACCAAATAGACCTTCACATAGGGCGCAGGCAGCATTTTTGATGAGGGTTTTTGCTAAACGGAAACGATTCAGATGATTATTATAGTATCATAGATGAAAAGGAAGGACTATTAGGCGACTACTTGTGACATTTTTATAATTATTTCTAACCCTCAATTCAGTCAAAAAGGAGTTTCTACTTGTATTCTATAGAAAGATAAATAGAATAGATTTACGTTCGATAGAGTGGACAGATCAACATCTGTTCATCCTTTTCACAAAATTGAAATTATTGTAATTTGCACAAAATAGTCGAGTTTCGTATGAAATGTTAATTGTTTTTTAACTCTTTAGTATTTATTTAGAAATAAGAAATATTAATGAAATTAAAATAAAAAGAACACTTTACAAGAATACAAATTTATTTATTTAATTTTCAAAGCCGAGTCCAAAAAAATCGACTGATCACAGCTTAAGAGTTGATTTCGTGTGCTTATCTAACGAATTGTTTCTGACAGAATTGAATTAGTTTTAGGATCGCAACAAACGCCAGACAATATCAAAGTAAGGGAAACAATTTGACAGACATGGAAATACTATATTTAAGAGGATAGCTATTGGGCATACGAGTATAATAAACACAAGGCATCCTTTGCGCACTATAATTGTTTGCATCGCATTTTATGTCGCACTTTAAGTTGCAGTTTTTACATCACTTAGAACTCACCTGTAACCCTCGAGCGCGTATAACCTCGACCTCCAGAAAGCCTTTCTGATGGCACAACGACAGCTGTATGTCGCCCAGCGAAGGGGCGCCCAGCACTTGCCGACCTACCAACTGTCCAGGTCCCAGACCATCAACAAACTCATTCAGGGCGCCATCATTACGCAGTGAGGGCGAGAATCTGCTCGGTTTTGGTTATTTGTTGTTTTTGGGGTTGATGGGTAAGTTTTGAGAACATTTTAGTAGATATACCGTAATGGATTCAATTATTAAAGCATTGACAATAAGCTGCTGTGTGGAGTTAAGGAGCGACTGACGGATCCGAACTCTCACAGCATCTTATTAAGCGGAAGTTATAAAGTATACTATATGTTTATAATTTAATTTACAGAAATAAAAGTTGAGAACGTTTTTGTTTTGGAAAGAATAAACTCTTATACACAGGGAGTTGTAGAAAGATAGTGGAATTGTTTGTTCTTGTGGCTTGTTCTTGGTTCACCAATGGTTGTGGTATGGAATGGTTTTGGTGTTGGTTTTGGTTTTGACTGTCTGGTGGCTATGGGCGGCTGATTGGTGGTATAGTGGTTGAGTGGTTGAGTGGCTGTGGTTGCCGTTTTTCTTTTTTGTGCAATAGTGGCATGCAAGTGTTTTCATTTCTGGTAGCACTGTGCAAAAGGCTAGACAACTGAGTTATCAATTATATTCGCAGTTTCAAGCATCGTTCGACCAACGGTTCTGAAGGAGAAACAGGTAGAGAGTGAATAGTTTTTTATTTTTTTGTTTATTTCCAAATAGCTAGGAAGGAAGCTTGTTTGTGGAGATTCTCACTTGACGCTTGGGTTGAATTTAAACGACTGGTGTCTTGTTAGTTTTGGAGGTTCGCTACCAGATGTTAGGTGTTTTTAGGTCAGAGTGCCGTTGAAGTTTCTAGGTGCCTAGGTCTTGGTTCTAATAGTTAATGTTGTATTAAGCTTATAGTTTGTTATATTTACACACCGAAATGTTGAAAAATGTATACAATATATATATTTACACAATACGAAAAGGAAATAATAAATGTAGACACAATTTTTACAATTTTCTCAAGACATAAATATACACAAAGAAGTGAAAAAACGGGAAATGAAAATTACGAAAAAACATTGAAGAAAATTACGAAAAATGCAGGCTGGCTCAACAGTTTCAAGGCGCACACATATAGAAGTATATTTAACAAGAAAAATGGCGACAATGTAGCACAGAGAGCATTAAGAGACTTTTAAGTTAGATGATATGGTACAGAGGTATAGAGAGGAGCGCGTTACGCTTACGAAGCGTTACATTAAAGAGATAGTGAGAGAGAGAGAGAGAGACAGCGAGCATGAAATTACGAAATACACCATTTACAGAGGCAATGAGAAGCAGACACAGAGAGAGAGAGAGATACAGAGAGAGAGTGAGAGTGAATGAAAAAGTCAGAGGCGCAGGCGATAACAGAGCCCAAATATAGGTCGAGTATACAGAGAGAGATAGAAAGATTGGTTGTTTTTTGTTTTTTTATTTCTTAAATTGCAATTTTGGCAAAACGCATCGCTAGAAACTTACGATGAACACTCGGAGCTAGAGATCGAATGTATGCTGCCGGCACTGTAACGCGTCACCGAAGGCACCGGCGGGACCTCCACAGAACGCTGGATGCTGCCCGCCGAGCCGCGCGATTGCCTTTGATGAAATGGGTGTGGTGGTGGTAGTGTGATATGATGGTGAGTAGTGGAAGAAGCGCTCGAGCTGCCTGAATACTGTGCCTGATATTGGTCTGTTGAAACGAGTATAAACACATGTATGTATATATACGCATATATAGTACAAATATACAACAGCAACAATTTTGAGAACGTAAATAAAAACAATTCGTTAATCACATCGACGCTGAAATGAGAACTTGGATTGACGCTGGCTTCGACGCTGGATGCGACGCTGGTTGGAACTCTTTGGTGGGGGTGGAGGGGGCCCTGCCTACAATCAGAGATACAGAAACACACTCCCAAAAACCCTGTTGGCAGCACCCGAAATATCGAAAATTGTATACAGAAACCAAAACACATATTCAACAGATTGAAAACTTAAGAGAAAGAAAAACTTTTCAAATGAAATTAAATCAAATAAAATCTTTGAAAAATACGTACAGAAACATTGAGATCATATATATATAAATATATAATTAGTTATATATGCAATAAATTAATTAATTACACAAATTAAACATTGCACATTTCGAGACATTTATTTGGCATTTCGCGCGCACATATGTATAACCATTAATTGATTGCCTGATTGTCTGATTGATTGAGTAAAGTTGGACTGAGTGGCTTGTAGAGCTGACAAAACTATTTGGAACAATCCACTTACAACAAGTATAGTAAGTGCGCCTTCAGTTTTAACAGCTTTACACTTTTGTGAGTTGTATGTTGTATATCAGTATATAAATATATATATGTACGAGTATACATATATCTGTATATATGCGAGTGTGAGATGGCATGTTTTCTGTTTTGCACACCTGAAGTTTTGAAATGCTACATATGAGAAATTTCTGGTTTACTTTTGGCTGCCAATTGCGATGGAGAACAATGTCCAAAAAACATGAATTCTATGTTTTTGTGAACAATGATATTTAGTTTATATTTTGTGTTGCTGTTGCTGTTGTTTGTTTTTGTTGTTGTGGTTCTTGTTTTAGTGTCCTTTCTATGACAGCTCCCTGTATATAATAACTGTAAATTGTTTGCAATTAAATTATCACTTATTTGAAAAAAAAAAAAACAAAACACAAAATTAAACAGATGATAAACATTAGTTTGGTAGCAGAGCTCTTCGTCTGGGCATGCAACATTCCTGTTTGGAAGTTTGTTGTACTTGTAGTGTTGGAAAATGCTTCGAGCGAGCTAGCTGTAATTGTGTTTGTAGTGTGCGTAAATGCCTCAAAAGTAACGCGAATTAGCTGAATCGAATGCAAATGGTCTTACCGCTCGACTGCAACAATTACTTTTAAATATTTTCAATTTTTCTGCTTGAATAATATTTCAGTTCTGAAGCTGTAATAAATTGGCTGAATATGTCGTTTTATATAACAATTGTTGTATATAGTAGTAGTAGGTATTAACTCAATGCATGCATGTTTAACAAAACTCTAAGTTAAAATGTTGTGTACGTTATGTTTATACTTTCTCATACAAATTCGAGTATTTAACAATTAAATCGTGACATTTTGGATTAGTAGTAGTATAGAGAGTACAAAAAATGAACAAAGTTTGGTTCTACAGTAAAAAGTAAAATGCAAACGCAAAATGGGTGGAAACCAATAGCTATAGAGACAGCAGCAGCACTGAGTACTACGATTATGTAGCATAGTGTAGCTGGGCCATAGTCAGTTTCAAAAGTGCGCGCACACCCACGACCCGAAAGCTTTGCGTTTGCCGCATTTGCGTCAGTGTCGCAGCAACTGCGGCCAAGCAAAGCTTTCGGCTGTGCAGAGTGCTGGGAAATTTGCTTTGGCCCACAACTGGCGGCCAAAAAAGCCTAAAAATACGTATCGACTTTGGATTGCTTATTGGTTTGTTGATTGATTGGTTGGTTGGTTGGTAATTTTCTGTTGCTTATAAGCTTTTGCAACACTGGCTTGCTGCAACTGGAAGGTAAAATAAAAATCATGTAAATCAAGAAGGGAAATTTTGTTCTTTCTTGTTTGTTTTTGTCTTCTTAGCACATGCTGCTGCGGCAGCAACTGAGCAAGAGAGAGAGAGAGCGAGAGAGAGAAAGAGAGAGAGGTGAAGGAGCGAGTGTTGGAGAGCGAGCTTTCAAAGCCTGCGCAAAGCACACACTGACGTGAGCAGGATGAAGTGAGTAAACTTTAAGGAGCAAGTTAAAAGCGCTTATTACTATTGCAGTATAACAAAACAAATTTGATTTGATTTTTTTTGTTTTTTTTTTGTTACTCATAATGGGCGCCTGCAGAGAACGTGGCGTGTGTGTGAGAGGGGGGGTTTGGCATGTGGCTTACACGTGTGTCTTTGTCTGCACAGCGCAAAGAAAATATCCTTGTGTGCAATTCAATGTTGTTGTTGTTGTTGTTATTTGCTAACTAATGTTTATCATCATCATTAACAACTTGTTATTGCTTCAATAGCGAGAGCAAACCAAAAGAAAACCAAAAATAAAATCAAAATTCAAATCAAAAATGAAACCATAATCAAACTCAGAATTAAGCATAGCATAGTTATAGAGAGATAGAGTTAGAGAGAGAGAGAGATAGAGTGTGAAGGATAGTAGAGCGAGAGCATAGTAAAAAGTTGAAAGTTGTGCGCACCTTTCCCCACCAGCGCCATCGCCGAAAAACTGCTCAATGGGATCCGCCTCCGAGGACGACCCACGCGACAGCCCACCGCGCATCTCGCGTGTGATATCGCCGGGCAAAACCTCCTCACTACGATGCACCGTAAACGAGTTCTTACCCTTTTTTCCAAAGCCCATACGTCTTTTACGACCTTTGAGTTTGTATGGTAATATTATGGTTTTTTGTTTTTTCAGTTTTTAGTTTTCAGTTTTCAGTTAATGCCAAAAATACGTTGGTTAGTTTATGATTAACAATATAAATTATGGTTGGTTGGGCAATGAGAAAAGAAAAACAAACTGTAAAGCATGGCAAAATGTTGCAAATAATGTGAGAACGGAAAAAGTACGAATGTGTCGCAAGTTAGCTCTAAATGGCGATTACTAGATGAGTTTTTAGATTAGTCAACGGAACTGAACGAAACTGTCTTAACGAACGGTTAACAAAGGGCAGGCGCCTACCTGTTGCGGACAGCTGTGATGTGGAGTTGGACTTTTTTCCCATGCCACTGCCGCTCTTGGGCGAACGTTCTTGGTCTACGCCGCCCTTCTTGCGATCGTTGGCGGTATCTGAGAGGCTGCCATCTGTGGGTAAATAAATAATATCAGCGTTAGGAGAAACAAAAATTAAATGATTTCAAAAATAAACATTTCAGTCGTAATTAAATTTTGGATTGGAAATTTTTTTTATTATAATTATAAATAGCCCGAAACAGTAGGTACTATCAATTGAAGCGTATTCAGTGAGTTCCTGAAGCTTACTCCACATGTCATTATGTCCGTATAGCGTGAAAACTATCTACCATATCAATATTTATACAATCAATCAACCATTAATATTTTTGTCGGATAAATTTGTTGGATAAATAACTACTCATTCAGATCTTATCGCTTTATAGTCCAACATGAGAGATTCACCTACATACATAAGATTGACCTAAAAAATGTTGATCTATATAAGGTTGACCTATATTAGGTCGATCCATAAAAGGCTACACACAATCTGGAGTTAACCTATTTACTGTCTCTAAGGACTTACCAACTTTCTCTTCGTTTTCGGCGCCGGCTTCTGCTGGCTTAGCACCGCCTTCCTCCTCGGCTCCGTTCTTCTCCTTATCGTACTCGCTGAAATCGTCGTCCAGCATGGCGTCAATGGCGTCCCAATCGATAACATCGAGTGGCGCATCGGCATCCGCGTCCGTGGCGGCAGCCGGTGCGGTTGTTGTTGTTGTTGTTGCGTTTGTTTCATTCGGTATATTTGTATTATTTGTTGTTGTTGTATTTGTGGCAGTTGTTGTAGCAGTCGTTGCGGTTGTTGTTGTTGTTGTCGTCGTTGTTGTTGTTGTTGTTGCCGCAGCATTCGTTGTATTCGTTGCATTCGTTGCATTCGGCGATGCGTTTGTTGTTGTTACATTTGTGGTGAGATTTGTGGATGTATTTGGTGGTTGTTGTTGTTGTTGTGTGGGATTTGTTATTGTTGTTGTTACGTTTTGGTCATGCGTCAAGTCATTTGTTGTGACGGTGTGATTGTAATTGTTGTTGTTGTTGTGTGTTTGTTGTTGTTGTTGTAGTTGTTGTTGTTGTTGATGTGTCAATGATGAGGCACGTTTATTGGGTGATGCATTTGTTATTGTTGTTGGTTGATTAGCGACACCATGATGTTGTGGGGGATTTGCAAAAGAGGAAGAAGAAGCATTATTAGCATTATTACTACCGACGACGATATTACCAGCAGCAGCAGTAGTCGAAGCACCACCACCACTACCACTCCCACTACTAGATTTCGTCTGTTGTTCCGATGTTGCTGCTGCCGCTGCCGCTGTTGCAGTTGCAGTTGCAAGCAGCGATGTGCCTTCTTTCCCTTTTTGCCTAACTGATTGTTGGCCACTACTACTATGGGCCATTGTATTGCTACCACTAACACTACTCGTGACTGCTGTGTGGCTATTGTTGTGGTTGTGGCTACTATTGTTGTGTAGTGTGTGTTGTGTGTTGGGATTGTGGTGGGTTGAGCCGCCGACGCCGACACCGCCGCCACCACTTCCACCACCACTACGTCGTACAAAGTTGTCGTATTCAAAATATTCGGGCTGTTCGTTAATGCTGACCCCACCATGCTGCGACATTGTGGCGGTGCCGTCCACCGCTGCCCCCTCCACCGGTGAAAAATTGTGGGCGTTTTGTGCACTGGGCGGATGGGGAAGGTTTCGGCGGCGCTTGAGATAGGGGGCCGCTGGACCATACAGCTTCTGCTGACTAGTACGCTGTAGGTCCAATGACATATGATTGCGAGCATCCGCAGCGTAGCCGCCCCTGCGATGGGGACCACGAAAAAGCGAGGGCGCCACACCGCGACGCGTCCAGCCCACATCCGAGTCGTAGGTGATTGTGACTATCTTGTCGTCAGTCACCAGAAAATGCGAATGACTCAATGGATTGGCCTCGTTCACATTGGCGCCCATATAGGACTGACGTATGTTCGTCTCAGAGCCGTAGCGACGTGCTAGATCGAGCTCCTCTTCCATGGGCGTGTGATAGACCTCGTCCTCGTAACGTATGCGGCGACGACCCCAGCTCTTTGCGTGCAGATCGTCATAGTCTAGGGATCGGGATTGACCCTCGTGGAACATTTTTCGGCGATCGAGAGAATTACGAGGAGCTGGCATGCCCAATTTGGGCTTCTTCAGTATGGACGTGGGCTGTGCCTTAGCCTCGGCAATGGGTACCGCAGTGACCAGGGCATCCTCGCTAAGCTGACGCGAAAGGCGCAGCACTGATTGGGTGGGCAGCGGTGGCGGCGGCGCTAGCTGGGACTTCGACTGCCTATGCGCCGTCGGCGTGGGCGTGTGCACGTGATAAGTGGGCACGGCACCCAAATTGACTTGCGGCCCAGTTAGACCTCCGACAAAATGCTGATCCACACACTCGCCGCACATTGCCGGGTCCATGGTGGGCAGCGATGGTTCTGATGTGGGCTGAAACATTGATAGCGAGGGACGACGCAGCAGCTGTTCGGCGGTATAGGGATAAGCAATTGGCTGATGCTGGGGATGGGGATGCGCATCGGCCAGGCAATAGGGATCGGCGCAAGCGCCAATGGCTACCCCAGGGGTAGCTAGTGCTGTATTGGTGGATAGCACCACCGGCTGGCTGCCATTCTGACAATGACTGCAGCTATTGTCGAAGTGATCGCGCACATAGCCCACATAGGACGAGGGCGACGAAGACACGGTGTGGGCGTGTTCATGGGCATGCACCGGTGCGGTGGCGGCGGTGGGTGAGCTACGAAAGATATTCATGACGGGCGTGGTAATGCGCTTGAACTGCTCAAAGCTGGGCAGCTGATAGCCCGCAGCAGCCGCAGAGGAGGAGGAGGAGGCAGTGTGGCGTCCGTTACGTCGCAGGAACATGTCAGATGGCAGGTGGTGCGTATATTCGGCGGCATGCGTGAGAAACTCCGGAAAGTGCATGTCGGCAAATGAGAGTAGATGCGGTGCATAGAACGAATGTGGATGCGGATTGTGTGGATCGATTGAATTTGCTGTTGTCTGCGTCTGCTGTGCCTCAGCGGATGCTGCTTCCGCAAGCAGCAGCTCTTCCGCCGCCGTCGCTGGCTCCACAAAGAATTGGTCGACCAGCTCGCTGCCGCTATTCGTCGCAGCAATCACATTCCCCCCATGGGGCGGCTTGAGGGCGACGGCTGTGTTGGGTGGCGAGTCGGCAGCTGCCTGAGCTGCCAATTGTTGCAACTGCTCCAGTTGCTCCAGCAGCAGCAGCTGTTGCGCGGCGGTGTTGATTTGGGGCTGCGTCATCGTGTGCTGTGGCAAATAGGCACAGTCGTCCACTTCAATGGTATTGGCCCGGTAACGTTCAAAGCAGCCCGCGGCAGCGTTCCGGGGTACGGCGCTCAGTCCATGCCCATTGGTCATGGGATAGACGCTGAGACCCGTGACGGCACCTGAGCCGCCAAGGAAGCTATTTCGTACGCCAAAGAGATTGCGCCAATTGCGTGGGAAGCTAAGGGTTATTTCGGTTCGTTTTCGCATTTTAACGTTTGCAGAGTTGGCGTGTTGGGTTGTGGGTTGTGTGTGGTTAGTGTTTGTTGTTTGTTGTTTAATTGTTCGATTGTTTGGCGGTGGTGGAGAGAAATCCGTTTGCGCATGCAAAGTGTTTTTAGTTTATTTATGGTGTAAATAGTATTAGGAAAACATGTTTGATTTAAAGATGGAAAGCAAGAGATGTCGAGGTTAATATTTTCAGATGGTATATTACACAGAAGTTGTGAAGCGTTGGCATGAATTGGAGATGAAGAATGGTTTTTATAATAGGCGAGTGGTGGGGGGTGGTGGATTACAGCGGGGGCAGTTATTTATTTAGGATTGTGTTGTTAAGAGGCGGAGCATTATTGTCAATGGAATTTTGAGACATCAGAGTGTTGAATACGATACGATTCATTGTGATGATTTGGTGGCCAGATTTGATGGAGAAATGGTTCATTTGGTGGATGGACATTTGGCACAAATTCGATACGCACGTGTCATTAATTGTTGCATTCAAAGCAATAGCGTCCGTAGTCGGGGTGAGTTTTGTTGTTGTTGTTATTGTTTGATTGTGTGGTGGTGTGGTGTGGTGTAAGCGTGCGTGGTGAATAGAAGCATTTCAACACAAAAGTAACGCGCGAAGAGTGTTGATTTTGTTGGTTGGTTTGTTTGTGGTTGTGGTTTGTATTTGGATTTTGTTTGGTACAAAACAAAAAAAAACGCAGAAAAAATATTTATGCTTTCGCTTCGCTTGGCTTAATTTTTTTTTTTTTTTTGATGAGTTGTTTCTTTTTATTAAAATGTATGCTGAATTCTCTTTCTTTATGTTGAGCAATTACGGTGTGTAGTAGTATTCGTGAGTTTTTGTGTGTGTTGAGGAATGCGCCAAGCGCGCTTATAATTGTTTTTGGTTTTTGTATTTGTTTCATTATTGTTGAACTGATTCAGAGCCTAATTGACGGGTAATTTTGATTTTGCGGTATCTACTCAAATAGAAAGATAGAGAGATAGACAGAGATTTGGTGCACGACCAATTTGAGCCCAAAAAGAGAAATTTAAGCAAAATTTTGGCGGGTTGATTGCTTGGCTTGGCTGCGTGGTGATAACGAGAGAGCGCGAGACTACAACGAAGCACACGCGAGTGCATCTATTGGCTAGGGGGGCCGTCTTACTCACCTGAGACCGCGAGAGGTGCGCGGTCGCTCCGATTGCGTAGAAAAGGCGCTGGATGTCACACTAACTACCGACTCCATATCAGAGTCCCCAAACTCGCCCATGAAATCCTTGTCTGGCGATAGAGAATGACGCGGTCGCATGCGGGTGTCCATCGAGTGCAGATCGCTGTCCGATAGTCCCGTATAATGACGCTCCCAGCCCCCCATTCCGGTGCTGCGATAGGTGGCCTGATGATGCGGCTGACGTGTACGGTGGCGTCCAAAGCGGCTGCCCGAGGCCAGGCGTTCGTCAAAGTCCTGACCCAGCCGATCGCGTAACATGGCACTGCGCGAAGTCTGTGGCACCTAAAAAACAGAATTGAAGACATGGTTGGAGGCATTGTGGAAATAGTGGTGACTAGCGTCATTATAATGCCAACTTTAACTGTAATCTAATTATTTGCTTGAATCATTTGGCTTGAATAACTGGGTGAGGTTTTGTTTATTTTATAGTCTGCACAACGTTGTAAATCGACACTTGAAATTTTTACAACATATTTTTTCGCTGGTTATAGTTAAGCAGCGAAGCGGGGTTTTGAAAAATTCAACCCGCAGTTTGGGAAAATTTCGGTCAATGACCATCAGACTAACAATTTGGACAAATTTTGTATATAGAAATGAAATGAGGAATGGGTATCCTTAACAGCTATTGAGAATGCTGATTATTAGGATTATGATTGGTCAACGTTTGGAATGCTTTCTAACACGCTATTATGGAACGAGTCGAGTTGCTTTTGGGGAACACTACTGACCTGTGGCAGTTGTCGCTTCTTAGGTGAGCCCGTTGGCGTGGCCGTAGCTGATCGCGATTGAAAGCGTTGTTGCTGCGTCGCTGCGGCCGCCGACGCACTGCCGGGGCCCGCTGGGCCGTACGCCGTGGCGTTCGGAGACCCGTGTATTGGAAGCACTGGATAGTCTATGTAGCGATCGTCGGGAGGTGAGAGTGAGCCGCGTCGTGGGCTGCTGCTGCGGTAACCGTAACTGCCGGCACCCGGCCCGTGAGCACCTTGAACTGCACCTCCGCTGTGGTAACTATCGCTGGGGGCTGCCGAGTGACTGCGTTGGCTGAGGCTCATGCCACCAGGTCCGATGGTGGGGCACACACCATTGCCACCGCCTCGTCGATAATAACCCGTAGCTGAGGCCTGCATAAGGGTGCGAGAGGTCGCCGAGAAGAATAGGAAAATGGAAGATGATTTAGTATCGAAGAATTAGGTGAGCGCTTAACGGCGTTCTGTTCAACGCTTTGGCGATGCATTGCATGGTCCAGGAGTGAACATTGCTTAGGTATTTGTGTGTTCAGCTTTTCTTAGCTTTGCTTACAGCTAGGCATGTGAGTATTTAGGAGTATTTAGTTCTGAATTCATTCAGGCAGGTTAGTGTGTGTATTTTTTGGGTTAACTTTACTTCGAATTCTACGGAAACATTAATGAGTAGTAGTTTAAGTATTAGTAGTAGTAGCATTAAAGGCATAAAAAGTAGGTAATTGCTCTGTTACAATTCTCCAAAATATGGTATTTTCATTTAGCCAGAGAACGAAAACGAAATCAAGTAAAATACATTTACGTTTGTTGAGTTAAGTAATTGGATTAAGTAAAGACTAAAATTTGAATTCAAAGTGCAGTTTGTCCTAGAGTTTGTGAGAGTTTTGCTTGGTTATTATAGATACAGCTGCTAATGTAGGTAGTACTTGGCATGAGCGTCTGTGTGGTGAAGATAATGAGCACTGAGAGCCTGTCAATGAAATGATAATCTTCTTAAACAATAGCCATATAGAGGCGATAATGAAAAGAAATTAATTGTACGAGTATGTGCTAATGGAGACCCCTTTCTTGCGATGAGCAAATATTTAACCTGACAACAGTCATATAAGTATTATATAAATTTTAATTGACTCAAAGAAGAATTGAAATGGAAGTTCCTGAAGATGGTCAGAATTGGGATTCAACACTTTTTTCATTGCTCTTATTTGTGCAATGAATGGAGAGACTTGGACGTTCCGCTTAAAAGGATTTCTATTCACGTGTTTATCTCTGTACTCTGGAACAGTTTTAGACTCTCAGTGCTCAATGCTTGAAAGTGTTGTGGCCCGATCTAGGGCCTGGATAAGTTTGCTTACTACACTTAGCAAAGGTCGGTGTTAATTGCTCTTCCTCTGGGCCGTCTAAGTAGCTAAATAGTTATACAAATTTCTATACGGCTGAAGCTTTCAGTTATTATATTTTTTCCCTGTTGCTAAGAATGCATGTTTCGTTATAGAAATGTGCGTTAATTTAGTTCGGTTTTTCGTTTATGTATTTTTTAAGAGTGCAAACCTGATTGTGATAACTTTGTCCAATGCCAGATACAGTGCGATAATCACGGGCCACCATGCCGGCTACCCGTTTGCGGCCCTGGGGCGACATGTCACGTCTCGAGCGACGCTCGTTAAGATCGAGCTGAATTTTGTGAGGTTGGGTGATTGGATTGGCCATATATATTCAGGGAATTGTTTTAGTTTTGGATATATGGGAGCAGTTTTAATTGGAAACGTTTTGCACACGAGAATAGAAAATATATGTTTATATATATTTATACATGAGAGAGAGAAAGAGTAAAAGAAAAAAGAGGAGTAGACAAGAATGTAGACATGATCAAAATGACAAAGTAAATGAATGTTGTTGCAAAACATTTACAATATACTATTTTAATTATACAGCATTGTGTAGGTGTGTGGGTGTCTTCAATTGTGTTCTAAGAGGGATCAATTGTGTATCACAGTGTCTGATGCTAGAGGCTTCAAGTTTATGGTGTTTTCTCTTTTCGTTTGCTCTGTGAATTACTCATCAGATGTTGAAACTAAACATGGAACCAAGTATACGCAACTACATACACTTAAAGCTACGAAGAGAAAGAAAGAAGCAGGAGGCCGGAATACTCAAGCGGTGTCTACACAAGCGATCAAAAGGCATGCATGCATCGGTCTTTAGAGGGTTAAGCCAAAGCGTTCAAAGGTGGGATAAAAGTGCGTTTAGCGTTTTCTTTAAAATGTACGATATAGAAGTATAGTATAGAGCATTTAAGTATGTTTTGTTTCTTTCTTCATTACATTTAAAATCATTTTTTCGGCATGTGTTCTCAAGTTTGAAGTTTTCGTCTGTCTTATAACACTTGAACTTAACTCAAGGCATTCATTTTGTTCATAATTGTAACTTAAACTATGTATACGACTTAATGTCTTAATGGCGACAATTAGTTATAGCTGAAAATTGATAGAAACTCGATAATGCCTGACAACTGGACGATCCACAACGCACATTGTAGTCTTGTTGATTAGTCTGAATTATTATTAGTAAATATATAATTAGGAGAGCGTAGAAAGGGCTGAGCGATAGTAAGTAGTTCGCTCAGTCAGTCATTTGGAGATAGAGAGAGAAAAATTTAACACACGCACAACAAAACGACACCAATTAGATATACAAAAAATGAAATACTGAAATTATGTTAATGATACTTTGTACAATTGGGCAGAAAATGTGTGTGGATGTTTCAATTTACAATTTGTGGGGATGTGTGCTGATTTCTTAATGTGGTGTGATGGGCACACTTAATCGTCCGGCACTCTCAAAGGTGGTGTTTAATTCGAAAGTGCCCGCCAAGTGCGCCCCCAAAACCAAAAAGATACGCGTATGTGAAAGTGTTTCGGGTAGCTGCACATTTTTTTTTTTGTTTTTGCAAGCATTGCGGTGCAAAACGACAAAATATTCTAAACTGACAACAGTGGAAGGCAATGAATCATGAAGATGTAATGCGTCCACGGGGCGTATGCGTGACCAGTGCTGGAAATGAAGGACCCGCGTTTGCTAATGGCATATGCTATGAAATGCTGAGCGTGAGAAACACTTAGAAAGGAAAACGAACGATGCACACAGAACATTAGAAAAGTGTGAAAATATACGAAAAAATATTTTGTATTCTAATACCCTGTACCCAGAAATGGGTTGAACAGTTCTTGAACAAGGTATAGTATGTGTTTGTTTCGAGTAGTAGAATTATTCTAAATCAATTATGAATTGTCATGATCGACAAATTTTTAGTCTCTCTAGGTATTTCAAATAAATATGTTTTTTATGCTTTGGAAACATTTAATTGAATTAATTGGTGATGAGTAGTCGATTGTTATACTTGTACATAGCCTAGCAAGGGTACAGGGTATTCATTTTGCGAATACAAACGAATACATGTAAGAAAAAACTTTGGAGGCTGCCAAGTGAGCGGCGGCTTGTTTGTCTCCCTTTGTGTGTGTCTGTGTGGGTGGGTGGGTGAATGTGGGAGCATTCTCTGAAGTGCCACTGAATGTGGCAAGCTGTGTGTCTTTGTTGTCAATCTTGTTGTTGTCATCTTTTGTGTGAGCTTGTGTGCGCATGTGTGTGTGCTTGTGTGCGCATGTGTGTGTGTGTATGTCAAAATATACGCATAAATAATAAATTTGATTTTCACATTCTTTTGGTTGTTTGGCTGTTGTGGTTCATGTCTTTTGCTGTTGCTGTTGCTGTTTAGTTTGTTGTGTGTTTTTCTTGTTGTTGCTGTTGTTGTTACCTCTGGCAGGGGCGGACTGGCTGAGCTGCCCATTGATGATATGCTGGCGCCATCACGCCCTGTTGTCATTCCATCGATGTCGCACTCGGATGTCGTATCTGAGTCACTTAGACGCGATGTGGTGCTCGGCGGTGATAAATGATCTGTCGGTGTCAGTATCAGGCCGTCCACATCGCTGCCCTCGTCACGTAACTGGTTGTCGTCGTCGTTGTTGTTGTTGTTGTTGTCATAAATTTAACGCCGATTTTGTTGGAATGATTTAATTTTTTTGGTTGAATGGAAGTAAACGAGCAGATGTGTACGTTGGTTGTGGTGTGGTTGTTATAGTAGATTTTTGGTGGTTGTTGGATGGTGTTTTTTTTGCGGGTGCATTACAACAAAAATTAAAAAAATATGGCAAGTGAGAGTTAATAATTTGGTCAGATAGGGCATCAGGCGCTTTAAGTAAATGTTTGGAATAAACAAACGAAACGAACATCAGGAATTACAAAGCTAGGGCTTGGAAACAAAAAAATAACAACTTTTTTTTTCTCTTTTCCAGTTGGTGTTAATTTTTTCGCTCAAGAACTCGTAGGCTTAATGGGGCTGTGGCGTTGCGCAGTCGCACGCACTACTTCAAAGCACAACGAACAAAAAGGAAGCCTCTCCATTGAACTGGGATTACCAACAGTTCACACGCACACACACACACAAAAACATTTCATCACATTGAAACGGAACGAACGAATGGAACTGAATGGAACCCAAACGGAAACGGAAATGGCAACGGAAACGAAGCACAATGGAAACCAAAAGCTAAGCCCTATGCCCTACAAGCGAGACATACGAGATAGGAGGTGTCCTGATGCGGCAGTAGCTGATACCATTCGGCCTCGTCGTCCAGTATGTGATGCGCCAGATCGATGACCACCTCGCCAATAAAATCATTGGCACCATAACGCACATAGTCCCATAACGTGATCTGCAAAATTCGAATAAGACTCGATCACTTGATATGCAAAAGAAACGCTCGATTATTTCTAACTACCTCCAGCAGCCGACCATTCAGATCGCAGCGGCGCAGGCCCGAGTAAATGAATGTCTGGCCCCAGCGGGGCTCACAAGTTGTGCCAACAGTTTTTGTGCGTCGCTTCGATTTCTGGCTACGATCGGGCAGAAGGAACATCTGCAATGAGGAATTGTGTGAAATGAGAATGAATTCATTAAACAACATTCGATTTAAACTAAGATAATCTATATCTTATTGGACAAAAATATACATTATCTTCAAAACAAAGGAAATTCGATCAGATAAATACTGATGTGCCTTCAATTTTACTAGAATTTAATTCAAATGGGGAAAATGTGAATTTTCAATTAATTTTTGTTTTTAAATAACATATTTTTGGCTGAAGCAATAAGCCTTAAAGCTATGTTTCCACTTTTGAACGGAATGCCTCAAAAGCACTCTTTTTGGCTTTAAATTGCAGTACACTCCAAAAGGAGAAATTATTCAATTTACTTAAAAATTTAAGTTCGGCGGAGTAATGAAAGGGAGCAAAGGAAAATCGAATGGGATTTGTGGATTTTCAAATATTTTGTTGCTTTGAAATAAAAAATTATTGGCTGTAGCGCCAGGCTTTAAAATGATGTTTCGAATCCAATGTTGGAAATATTCAATTTATTTAAGAATTCAGCTTCGATTGGTTGTAATATGTACTATTTAGGATTTGATTTGTCCTAAAAGCTATAAGCATTTATGCTATTGATATACTTACTTTTGCATAGGGATTGCGCCCCGCACCGCTGTGCCGCAATGACAGCCCGGTGGCGCAGACGAGCGTGACGATCAATTGCAGTGTATTTTGATCGTAGCCGAGCTTCAGCTGCAGGCGCCCCTCGATGGGTATGGGCTGTGTCGTGGTGCCGCCACCACTGCCCCCGAATGCGCCATGATGCGCATGATGGGGCGGGGCATGGGGCAGCGAGTGCGAATGCGGGTGCGCGTGCGCGTGCGATGTCGGTGATGGAGCTGCCGGCTGATGGCAATGATGGTGGTGGTGGCCCGCCGTCGTTGTGCTGTGAAGGCCGCCGACGTTGGCGGCTTGTAGTTGGGCGCTGCTGGTGCTGCTGCCGCTGCTACTGTGGTTGCTGTTGTTGCTGCTGCTGTGCGAGTGCGAATGGTGGCTCTGGCTGTTGGCGTTTGGTCCCAGGCGCTGTTGATGCTGCGCTGTGCCGCCACGTTGCCGTAATCCCGCACTGCCCGCGGCAGTGACGTGCAGATCCGGCGAGCCGGGCGATGTGATTAAAACGCTGGGTTTCTCGCGATGTATTTCAATGGCCTCGACCGCAGGTGCTGCGTAAAATTTATCGCATTGTAAATAATTAGTTTAATGTTTAGGTTAACCGTTCAAGCTATTGGTACATTCGGGTTTTCTTGGGCGTTACTTTGTGTGGCGTTTAGACATACACAGTTCTTGAACGGATTGTTTTGACAGCGAAACGAAGGCAATTAATTAAACTACTTATGGATTGAGATATCTATAAATTTATACTTTATACTTGTACTTTAGTTGTCTAAACATCGAAGAAAATTGATGATTTGATTAAAATAATGGTAAAATGAATCTTAGCTGAACTTGTTTCTAAAAGCTAATATTTTCTTGAATTTGGACTAGTCGTATATATTGCAGACTACCAGTTATTGAAGTTATCAGAAATTCTGGCTGGTTCGGCGCATTTTTGAGGCTTTAATTTAAAGGCTGATAATGAAGCTAGGTTGCTTTTTTTAACCCTAACTGAGGGAATATTTTAAATATGTATAAATCTGTTCTGCAAAATTAGACACACACTAAGACATGGCATGCACACAAGAATGCAAATACAAACAGATCCACACACACACACACACACACACACAAGTATCCACTCACACACCCACACATAGTCACATACACACACACCTTTGCGCTGCAAATAGCGACCGCCACTGCTGACCACCGCACTGCCCGCCATGCTGCTCGCCAGACTGCTGTGCGGAAAGTTGGCGGAAGATTTTCGCGCACTGCCTCCGGAGCAGGCGCTGCTGGGGCTGACGTTGCTGCTGCTGCCTCCGCTGCTGCCGCCGCTGCCGGTGGGCAGCAGCAGGGAGCGCGAGACAATCAATTCCACTTGTGCATCGAGGCGACTCTCGTCGATGATGTCGTAGACCTCATCGGCGCTCTTATTGTGCAGGTTACGGCCATTCCATTCGATGATCTCGTCACCTAGACGATGGACGCACAGACACAGCGTTCGTTGATGCAAATGGCATGAGTGTTCAGATGTTGCGATTGAGAGGCGTACCGAGACCGAAATGGAGATATATAGACAGATTGATATAGAGATAGAAAGAGATCGAGATTTAATGAATGGGAGTGAGGGGTGAGAATGTTTTGTGTAGAATACCTGGTCGTAAGCGCCCCTCCAGATCGGCCACAGAGCCGCGTTTCACCTTCTCCACTATAGCACCACATGCACCGCTGCTACTGCTACTGCCGCTGATGCCTCCGCCGCCGGTGCTGCCGTTATGCTCCAGAGTAAGCGGTTGACCGCCGTTCACCTTTAAGCCTAATATATCTTCCCCATCATAGTATTTACGTAATATCATGTGACCAATCATGCGAGTATTATCCGCGGATGTTTGCCAATTCACTGGATTCTATAGATATGTATGCGTATGCGTGTTTGTTTGTATGTTTGTACGAGCAGGTGATGGAGCAGGTGATAAATAAAAGTTGACGGTGGTCGGTGGTCGTGATGGTTGTTATGGTTGTTATGGTGGTTATGGTGGTTATGGTGGTTATGGTGGTTGGTGGTGGTAATGGTGATGGTGGATATGGTTGTGGTTGCGGTTGTTAATTTTGCATGGATTTTGTTTTGGTGGGATGATTTTGAACGGAGGTAAAATGTTTTAGTTTAGTTTCAGATTCGTTTCACAAGAGCCTTAAACATAACCTAGAAATAATATCTTAGTCTAATGGGTTAGTCTTAATTAATAGAGAGAACAGAAAAGATCCAATTAAAATTAAATTCAAATATACAAGTAGTAGCATTATGAACATCACAAAGATTTTGTACAATCCATTGAACAATTTTTACAATTATCCTTTTAAAACTTATAGCTAGAAACTGTCATTCTTTTGATTCTACTAAGTAAGTTGCGATAGATCGATAGTTGGATAGTTATAGCTTGATAGTTTTCATTCAAAGAAACGAGTTCGTTTGCAATACGCATTTCTTTGTTAGTCTGTTTTAGTTGGTTTAAAAACTTTGAGAACACATATTTTTCGAATTAACAATATACAAGAGATCCAATTCGAAAGCTCTAAAGTTAAAGTCTAAAGTAAAAGTGTGGGGGAACATCAAAACATTTAGAAATATAGAACATGCAGAGAATCGTGCAAGTTACAGATAGTAGAATATGTGTAGAGCTAGAAGGTGAAATATTGTTGTAATAATGTCTATTATGTGGTAAAATGAGATCTGTCAGGATTATAAGTGGTTGGACTGTTAGAGAGAGAGAGATTTATTGAACTGATCAGCGGACTTTGGGATCAGTTATAAAGAGACTGACTTAAATGTTGTTCTCATCATAAAAGGGAAAATCTCTATACTTGTGCATAGTAGTCTTCTGTGAACATTGAATGGGATCGATCAAGTATGGGATTTTTGTTGGGCAATAAACAACAGTCATGCAAGAGTTTGGGAACATACACAAGCATACACACATCACATCAATACTAGTCTAAAGAAGAACGGGAAGATATTAGCATGCGGTTTTGTTTTTTTTTTCGACTGTTTGAAATAAAGTTATGTATTGTAGATGTCTGAAATAGTGGACAGAGTATTATAGCACTCTAGATACGAGAAGTTTAAATACAGAGTGTAGCCTAGTGAGAGAAATGAAATATTGCTATGAAAGAAAAATACTATACAGATGATAAACACGGAAAGTTGTGACGGGTATCTGGAGGCTACGGCTGAAGAGACATACGAGTTGAAGAACATGACAAGAACAACAAACAGAGAAACGTTTTAGGCACTATGAATCGGGTGTAAAAGGCAAATCGGTTCGGTTGCAGGTGGGTAAACACTATATACAGACAGACGGATGGGGTGTTTTGTTGTTGGGGTTCCAGACTGGCAGACTGGCAGACAGACAGACAAACAGACACACAATCAAAATGCTGGGGCTCTGCGACTCTTGGCTACGACACAGACACAATGCAGCGCTTGGGCTCCTTCAAAACTATTTTGGTTGCCCTTCTTTGTGTGTACCTTGGGCCCATCGCCACGATTCGAGTCCTCGCTGCTGGTGAATGTGCTGCTCGTATCAATGCCCGAATCCTTGGTGGCTGAATCCTGGCTGCCCTGTCGCTCAGCCTCCCAGCGCGCCCAATCGTCAACTGGCAGCGGTCCAGCCGCTGCCGCTGTGGGATGAGTCAGCTTGCCGCTGGTCAGTATGGTCGCTGCCCCCACATCGACCGCTGTGGAGGGCAGAATGGTCGTCACCGGTGGCAGTGTGGTGCTCCCCACAACCACTCCAGGTGCAATGGGCTCGTCCTGGGCATCGAAACGCACAGTCTTCTTTATTCTGCGCTCAGTGAAACGTCGTGAGTCTTGCGCCGCCGACGACGAGGATGTGGAGCTAACCGAACTGCCTCCTGGGCCGAGCAGGCTGCGCTCACGACTCAAACTACGCTCATGGCTGAGCGAGCGCTGCCCTGCCATGGCACCGTCGGCGGTGGCCGACATAAGGCTGTGCTCATAGGAGGAAGCAGACGAAGCAGCACCACTGCCACCACCACCACTGCCAATTACAATCTGCGGCTTGCCCTGGCCCGCGGGGTAGGGATAGGTGCTGCTGGTGCTGCTGCTACTGCTGCCGCCCGCACTGGCTGCTGCCAGGGGTGGTGCACGCCGATAGGCGCCACCAGCACCACCAATGCCACCGATGGCGAACTGTCGTTCGTGGTTTGTGCGATTGAAGTTGTTGCGCTGTTGCACGTCCAGACGGGCGGTTCGTGTCAAAGGATACTGCTCGAGCCGTTCCCGATGCTGCAGCTGCAGCTCGTAACGATCGCGCTGATCGGCCGATGAGTATAGTCGATTGGTGTGCGCCAGCAGCCGGAAGTCGCTGGACGCGTACGAGCCACTCACGCTCAAAAGATCGCGTTCGTTCAGGCTACGCTGTTGGCGCCACGGATCCGAGCGAACGTGTAGACGACCGCCTGTAGATTGTAGTAAATGGTTGTTTGGTTTGATTTTTTTGCACTTGCTGTTCGTTTTTTGTATATTGGTGGTGGCTTTCTCTGAAGGGGAGGGAGACTTTCGTCCAAACTAGTGGTTCGAAACAGGGACTTGGCAACGACTTGAAATGGGACGAATGTGACGCATTCGCTGCTTGCTTGCCTGCATTAGTTTGTTGTCCTTTTTCATTAAATTTTGTTCAAATGGTAACAAATATAAGTACAATAAACATAAGTTTGTTTTTTTTTTGGTTGTCAGTGGCGTTACTTATGCGAAATAATTATCATTAAAAATAAAAATTAGCGCATATGGTTCGTTTTGTGGCGCTAATATGTTCAATTACATTTAGACTGTGTATAAATTATTTATAACTGTGTAAATGTTAATGTAAATGTATATGTTTTGTGTCGTTATATAGTAGAATACGTATTATGTATGAGTAAGCTAGCTTGTAAAATCTAAATAAACTAGAGATTTCTATCAACATTGCAATGAGTCTGAATGTTGAGGTGGGGGTTGGCGGAATCCAAAAATAAAAATGCAACTTTATTTGCATTTCGTGCAATCCATTTAGTACTCAGATTAAAATGCATCAGATAAAACTTTTTGGAACAGGTCTGAAGAGCTGTATAGGCCAGAAGAATGTTGAGTTGGAAGAGCTCAGCCTTTCCTTAATAATCAGGCGGATATATTTAATTGTTGGACATGTTCCATAATGATCTTGCAAGTTTCTGGCTGTGGATGCACACTATCCACAATTTTTTTTTTTAGCTTCAGATAAATTGGTACAGTTTAAGTTGAAAAAAAAAAACACATTATCATAGAAAATACATAGCAATCCACTGATTAGTTATACATTTATTAGACTTGGACGACAATCATTACCAAATAACCTTCTCTCTAATGATTGTTTTACAAAAACATATCCGCTATCGCTTTGAGACTTCACGAGCAAACTGTCTGGGAAACCCATGTGAACCAAGCATTTGGCCACCGGGTATGGAATCAGGTAGCTATCGATGGTATGCTGATAAGCCTAGGTGCAAATTATCGCCAGAAAAGTGAATGTTGTGTGTTCTGGATAGGAGAATGAAAAGCCTCCTCTACCGGCATGGTATGCATTTTATGTATGAAATATGAATTACTTGTAGGACTGCGGAGTGCAAGGCTTTAAAAACTGTTAAACACGAGCTGTTATTTTTTATTTAAAATCTAATTAAATTCGGGAACTTGGACAAGGTATCAATTGCACAAAATTGTTGAAAGTGCAAGGTTTGAATTATCTATAGTTCTGGGCTCGCTTTGACAGGGATTTTTCAAGCTCTTTAAAAACTAGGCAAATACTTATCTGTTGTTGCTAAAAGTTTAAGAAATATTATGTTTTTTTATATATATAAATATATTCCTACATGCTAGAATTTCTGGACGCCTACTTATGGGGAAGTAGCTAATGGGCATCGATATGGCTAAGAATCTGGTATTGGAATTAAAGGGTAGAACTGTAAGAATGTGTTGTAGATAGTGTGGGCTGTGTACAAAGTATGTGGTGGTTGTTGTTTGCTTGTTTTTTATTGAAGAGGTAGGAAACGGGAAACAGCGTTACGATATCCATGCAAATTCTTCACGTTTTTGAATTGTATTTTCCATAATAATAATTTACAATTACAAGTAAATCGAATGTGAACAAATTAGACGAATAAAATAGGATTTGTAAACAAAGACATTAACAAAGTTAAAAGCGTATTCATCTTCTCAATTATTTGGTGAACACAGCCAGTGTATAACGGTGTGGAGAGGCGGATACAAATTCAAGGTGATGGCGTGGGTGGTGGTGGTGTGGTTGGTCGTGATTTGTGAGTGGATGGGCGGGGGGCTTTAAGCAAATGATAAATAAAATAAAGAACGGTAAGTGAATCTTGGACTTTCACGGTTTGGTTAAAACGCAGCACACAAACATCGAACAAAAATGCGGAGCAAGGTTAAGAAAAATATTCTAAAGATATTGAAAAAGAGAACGTAAGTGCTCAATAAAAGAAAGAGAGAAGGAAAGGAGAATAGACGGCAAAAATTTACATTCCATTTTGTGAAAATCATAGAAAACGATAATATTAAAAACATGACGCATAAAAATTGCTTAATAAATTATATTTGGTTATTAATATTGCTTTTTTGTTGCGTTCAGCATTTTTGTTATTGCTTACATTTGCATGAATCTGTAGATCGCCGGGCGAGAGAACAGTTTGGACACTTTGCACGCCACCAAAATTACCTGCTGTTGTTGTTGTTATTGTTATTGTGGTTATTTATAAATAAATGTATTGGATGGTTCATATATTTTTATGGCAGGTAGTTTTACATACGGTACGGAGTTAGATTTTATTCATTATGATATTTGTGGGTTTTTTTTTTTTTTTTTTTTGAGGACGCATATTGGAGCAGAGAGAGTGGAGAAAAATATACAAATAAAGTATAGACTGAAAATTAATCGACTGTTGCATAGAAAAGGTAAAGATAAATGAAATACAATACAATTACAATACACTAGGCTAAGAGTACATTGCGGCTAACTAGCTTATGAATTACCTTAACATACAAATATAGCTTGAAATTGTACATCCATTTCAGATGACGTTCAATACAGTCTGCCCATAAAAGTAGGCAATAAAATTGTAAATAGTGTGTTAAGCGTAACTATGGTTCTTAATTAATATTACCAATGAATGACACTAAAAACATAGTAGTCTTACAATTGTTAATAGTATTACAGACGAAAAGCGGAATAATAATAAGCTTGAACTACACGTAAATTTCTTAAATGTGCAAACCAACAAAATTTGCTTGCCCTTTGCTTTAATTGCTGTTGCAGCTGCAGACTCAAACACGCTCACACTCACACTCACAATCACACACACACACACACATGCGAATTCATGTACCTTTTTCCACCCAAGCGAAACTAGTTTGCTGCCACATTGTGCATACCCCTGGCATACTTTCATTTGACTTTGGTCACGATACAAAACGTTTATTGTGCGCATAATGGGCAACAACAACGAAAAAAATTACATAAAAATAAAAACAGCAACAACAATTGCTGTGCAATGTAAACAAAAGAGCACTAACATAAAAAAGGAAAGAAAGAAAGAAAAAGAAAAGAAAGGAGAAAAAACAAAGCAGAAAGTAAAGTAAATTATTTGAGAGCGACAAAACGAGGACCACACATACTCGTACTCACACAATCATAGACACACTTATAGTTAGTCGCCGCACGCACTTTTGGCACGTAGAAAGCGGTGAGCAAGGGCAAAGAAAATAGCAGCAGCAGAAGCAGAAGCAGCAAGAGGTAGAGGAGCAGCAAAGAAAGAAAAATCAATAACGTATACAACACGGTCATTTCTTCATTGTATGCGAACGCGTACTGCAAGGCCCACAGCAAAGGCAAAGTGACAAAAAAGAACACACAGCAACAACAACAACAGCAACAAGAATTGAAACGAAAACAACGACAACAACGGCTTGTAATCATGAGTGGGGGGCTGAGGGAAATGTAGAACGAACATTTGCTTCCTGTTTTATAAAATACAAAAGATATAAAAATAAATTTTTGGCTATAAATTCACTGCAGCGTCAAAGGCAAAGGCAAAGCCAATGGCTTTTTTGTTGTCGTTGGTTTTTGGTCCACAAGGCGCCCAAAAATATGCCAAAATGTCAATATGACATTGCGGCATTGCGTGCATTGTGGACTGAGGGAAGTTGGGAAACTGGCAAAAGCGCAAACACGCACACACGCACAAACGCACACACACAGCCCCTCTCATTTTCTCACGCAGCTGCGAGCAGAAACAGCTTGTGCTATTTTTAAACCAACTCACAACAACACCAACGTAAACGCCAACGCCAACACAACACAACACCCACACACATACACACGCAGGCGCATAAATAGCGCACAAGCACACACACACAAAGATGCATACATATATATATATATATATATATATACTTGTATATATATATATATATATATATATATATATTTCTATAAACACACGCACGCACGTCCACAATGTGTTTCAGTTTGAGTTTGGACTGCCACCTCCTGGCCAAGTTGTTGTTCACATTCAGAACGACGCGCCTGCTGATGTTCACATTAATGTCACTCATACGCACAGTTGGACGCACACACACACACAGACACACATTTACATACCCGACAATATGTGCAACAGTAGCATGAAGTAGCACTGGGGCTGGTCAACATGCACACATGTAGGCTTTTTAATTAAATTCGTCAGGCGTCACAAATGCCAGAACACACATTTCAAAATTGGCGGACGCCCTGAAAACATTTTCAAGCACTTGTTATCCTTATCGCCAAAAAGTCACTTCTGTGCCCTTCAAAAATGTGTGAGTTTAAAGCGCCAAAAAAGCACTCCTTGTTCTCAATGCATGTTGAACCAGTTCTTTAGAATAGCTTTTCAAATCGATATAAATTTCAATAAACTGGGGCCAGATGTTGTTCATCGTATTTGAAGAGCTGATTTTTTTTTTTGAATTCAATATTTACGTAAAGAAATATGTTGTGCTATACATTATATATATTGGACTTGCCAATGTCCTGCCAAGGACTTGAACAAAAACACATTATGACAAAATATTACATTCTCATAAGAGTAAAATGTTAAAATCTCGTTTAAAAGATCAATTAAAAATCGCAAATTCTTTACATACGCAAGAAAAAGCCCCCTTTAGACATGAAGATAAGTAGACTTAGAGGAACCTCTACAGCACATCTGCTTCTAAAAATGTATTCCTGGAATATATTTTTGCATAACCTTCAGTAGGAACTATTTTCTTTCCCAAAAGATCGGGGACTTGAAATGTTTTTTTTCCGCGATAGAAAATGTTTGCAGGGCAGAGGCGCACATTTGTGCGTAATTAAATTGGTTTGCCAGTGTACATAATTTACTTATTTAGTTAT